GCGTGGCTCGCATAATGAGCCGTGCTCCATGCTGCGCATGTGCGAGAAGTGACATCACACGGCGCACAGCTGGCGCGCCGGAGCCACCGCCGCCGCCGCCGTGCCCGCCTCGCGGGTTTGCGCATTCCAGAGGAGCGACGTCATAGCCGCGGCAGATGCACTGGCGCCACCGCGTGCCCAGCTGTGCGCCTCCGTTGCGCTGTAGCCAAGTCTGACGTTGCACCGGAGCCGCTTGATAGCGCCTCTCATTTTGTGCACATAAGCTCACGCTACGTAAATCCTGGCATAGCCGAGCTAAGCCACCGCAATTTTTTAATGGCACCCGCTGCCGCCTGCTGCACTGCGACATTTTTTTTTTTTTTTTTTTTTTTTTTTTTTTTTTTACAGCGGTGTTGGTTTTGGCCCGCTCGAGTCAGCCGATTTCGGCAAGAAACGCGCCTGCGCAGCGCGTTTCTTGGGAGCCGTCCGGCCGCCCGCCGTGGTCCCGACGTTACCGCGTCACAACCGCCGTCGTCTCACCGATTGTGATTATTGTCTCTCGGAGTTGCGTCCACACTACGGACACCACTACGGACACCAAAACGTGGCGAAGAGTGCGGTGCAGACGACACTCGTGCCTGCCACACGCCCGCCCAAATCCCGCCCGTCGTTGGGCCGAGGATCACGTGACATCTCGTACCAAGTGATGGACACGTACTTGGCGACCCGAGGCCAATGTTGCCGGGCGGAGCCGAAGTTTTGGTTTCGATTTCCGCTCGTGTTTAAAATTATATTTAAAAATATATATCCCATTTTTCGCAAAGCAAACGACGTAGTGTGTTTTACTAGGGCTTTTTAATTCGAAATCAATCATTATCCCGAAATCTTCGGAATTGAGCAGAGTTGCCCTTTAAGAAACATTTAGACAGAACCAGGTCGTAATATTCGACGTGTAGTCCTCGTAGGCAATACTGAAGAGGACTGCATTTTTTTTTCAAAACCAGAAATGAAGCGGAGTTGCCCTTTAAAGGGGCCCTGCAATGACTTTTTGACTGGTTTTTAATTTGCACTGAACCTGAGCGTACTGAACGCAGTAACTTAATCAAATCTTTTTCTCAAATTTCGCTTTATTTTAAAAGTTATAGGCAAATTAGAATTACAAAAACAAGCAAAAAATAACCTCCTCCATGACGTCGTAGGTCCTGGCTTGAGTGGCCGTGAACTATACTCCGTTTCACCTTCGGTCCGAGCGCAGCGGACGCTAGGAGTAATCCCAGCCAATCCAGCGTGGGGAGAGTGTCATGTGACCTTGAGCTCCCTGTGTCCCTCTGCCCGACCGGCAGGTCACGCGATTTTCTCCCGGCGCTGGATCGGCTGGGATGGCCTGTGGCGTTCACTGCGCTCGGACTGAAGGTGGAACGGAGTATAGAAGAGGAGTAGTGAGCTCATCGAGCGCTCACGGCTGCCGCACTCCGTGTCGACGGCTCGAGAGGGCGCCACTAAAGCACGTGTTGGATAGCCTGTATGAAGCGGGCGGCCAGGGCAACTCGCATTGCATTTGCTGCACGACTAAACACTAATCCGGCGTAACACTTCATTGGCCACAAACGACAGCAAACACGGGGTAAAGATCAGTTCAGAACGGGAGCCACTTCGCGCTGACGCACCGACAAATGTCCAAATCGCCAGCAGGGCCCGCGCTGAAGGCCTTCGGAACGCTCGGAGCCGGTCGGATTCTCGACCGCAGCGCCGCCGTGTACATCCGGGACCTTTCTACGCTCCTCGTTCGTCGTAGCCTCATCCCACTAGTTCTTTCTAGTATGCGCCGTTTTTTCCGCCGCTTGGTGGCGGGTACGCCGACGGGTCATTTCTTGTTTCCGTACTTTCTAAACTGCCTTTGCTTCTTTCCTGATCTAAAATAGTGAACAAAAACCACTTTCATACATAATTGAAACGGTTCGCGACACTTTTATTTTGTATCTCGACTAAAAAAAAGCTTTTAGCGGCTTTGACCAGTGGCAAGCCAAGGACCAAAGACGTCACATTTTGCGCGCTTTCGGTACCGCGGGTCGCCCTCGTCGGTGGAGGAGGTTTCCGCGTCGTCCGGTTAAAATATGACGCACTGATATTTACTCTCTCCGTGCCTGCTGGCTTGCCCGAACCCCAAGAGACGTGGAAACCGCAAAAAAAGGTAGACGCTTAAATATGATTGCAGGGCCCCTTTAAGGGCTAGTTTCCCCTAAAGTCCCTCAATGTTTGTTTTTTCCGTTAGCTTCCCCAGTTTCGTGTCTGGTACCAAACAAATGTCGACACTAAACTGCACAAAACCCTGGACAGCTACCGCCATCTATGAGCAATGGCAGCAACCAGACAACCAGTCTGGTTGCCGCCGTCGCTCATAGATGGCGGCAACCTCTCCAGTAATATCGTAGAATGGATAGTTGGGTGAGTGGTTGGGAATTCATCGTAGGAAACAGCGCACAATTAACAGACGAAGAAGAAACATACAGGACTAGCGTACAGCTTCGTTGGTCATCCTTCTTCACCAAAGTGGAAAGGATAAAAGTTCTTTTTCTTTATTTTTTTTTTATTTTAAATTTCCTGTTATTGGTTTAGCTGCGCGGACGTGCGATGCTTTTCGCTTGCATGCACATCTGTCGAAGACGTGCTAAAACTGTTTCTGTGAAGTGACTGAGACGCAAGAGTATTTCTGAAACTATCAGATGTCCTCTAACAGCGACATAAGTGAGTGGATCCACTCAAAAGTGCCACTGCAAGCCGGGATTCATTCTTTATCAACAGCAGGGCCAGGTTTTGGCAGTCTGCAGACTGTGTAGTCAGAGGAGTGCACCTTCCATACAGCCCATAGGACAGGAAATGGGTGTCCGCAGCGCACATGAGGTTTGGTAGCAGCACTGAAATAAAGATGACGGCCCACCGAAGCTATTCGCGTCTCCAGCTCGACGCTCGCCCTCCCGCGGGTGAAACGGGAAGCGCTCTAGTGAGGGTCCCCCGATTCTCCTGCTCAGCGGGCATGGCGGAACTGCTCACGATCATGGCTCGCGAAATGTCGTTTCCGAATGCAAACAACACTCTTCACTGTCCCAACGTAGTGCTGCAGCCGGTACGAGATTGTACCTTACTGCAGAGTTTTAGTATTGCGCATAGAAGTAAACGCAAGCGCTGTGCGATTGCGTTAGAGTTGCGTGTCCCACGTTGTGCGTGCGCCTCATCGCCATGCGCCATCCAAGACCGCAATTTCGGGCTCCGCGCACGCGCAGTGTGGAACACGCAAAGCTAACGCAAACACACAGGGCCTGAGTTCGCTCGTATACGCAATACCAAAACTCACTACTGTTTCACCGGCTTCCAACGCCAACGAAACGTGCTGCTGTGAGCAGACGTGCAAGCAGGTAGGCGTTCCTTCGAACTGGAAAGGCTGAGATTGGCAAAACGACGGCGAGCAAATACAAAAGTAAATAAATGTTATAAAAAATCTAGTAATTAACAAAAAAGTTTTTTTTATTTTTTTATTTTTGGGCATTAGGTCTGGAAGTATATTGCGGCGACATTGGGCGTTTCGCCGATTGTCAAAAGTCGCGACTTTGATAGCACAATATACTTTACCCAATATTAATGTAATTTTACATGGATTTCTGACATTAGCTAGAATGTTTTCATTGATTTTAGACTATTTTTATTTTATTGGTAATTAAAATGCAGCAATTGGAACCAGTGATGATAATTATCACAGTTTTCATTGTCATATTTCTTCGCGCGTTTAAAATTAGATTATAAGCAACAGATTATATTAGAACTTGAAGAATTTTTTAATCAAATATGCGAATTTTAATATTATTATTATTAATACAAGTCGCGGCAATGTATGCCTCCAGTTAACTCCAAGATCACGAGAATACTCTATTTAACCATAATAGTCTTTCCAGAAAGGTATAATTCTGTTTTCTGTTTAGCATATGAAAAAACTCTGACATAGTTATCAAGATAGACAAGCAGTCAAACACTGGATGTCATATGAAGTCCTACGCGTCACGCGGTGCCATAAAAACACACACACTTCAGCTGTCTGACTCGGATTCCGTCTTTGGGTTGTTGCAGTGACAGCAGTGTTTATTCGTTTCGTGGACCTATTGTAAAAATTGGCATTATTCTCTTATTCTTGTGCTGGGATAATTGTCATTATTTCCCATGGCAATTATCTGAGCGAGAAAAAGACAGCGAGAACACACAGATATCAGCACTAATTTTTTCAACAACTACAAATATAAGCCTGGATCGAACAGTATGTCACAAAATAAAGTTCCCGAAAACAAATTTTTGTAAGTAAATAATTACGATGTGAGACACATCTTGAGTCATGAAAGAATCCGAAATTAACACGTATATCGAGAAATTAAATCCAAAATAGAGGTAAGTTTCGGTTTCGCTTCAGAATTAGAACGTGAATCCTTCCATAATTAATACGCTAAACACCGTTCTTGTTTTCAGGTTAAAGAGGTGACCTGCGCTCATAAAGCATTAGCTTCCTCTTATTACCAGAAATAATTTATGTCGCTCAGTGAAGCCAGCAAACTAGACAGGCTCAACAGCGGCACGCATCTCCGACCCTCACTAAACCCGCCATCTTGGAAAATGAGTGGCGCCACCTATAGTTAGTTGGAGTCGCGAATAGGGCGGCCTGCGACGGGTTTGGTAGGTAGGGTGCAGCCAAACTAAATAGTACCTTCCCCCCCCCCCCTCTGGTTGCACGTCCCAGACCCTCGTGCCAAAACAGACTGGAGGAAAGACCTCCGCATTCAGTTCAGTTTTGGTACAGTTGCGGTTTTCGGGAACGGTTGGCGACCTCTCACGTCCTTCCATTCACGGGCATATGAGTGAGCCTACAACTTTCACTGTAAGTCACATTCATTTAGCCAATGTACCATCTCCAGTGTCATTCCATGAGAGCAAGCATGAATTACACTGCAATTCTCTTTCTGCCCAGACAAGAACACAGCAGGTTTGTTCTCGCTCATCTGAGCGAATATATTAACATCTTCCTTTATTATTTCACACAAAGCAATTGGTACATGCCTATAAAAATCTAATGGAGATGGTGATTACAGGCAATAAAATGCTATTTTACAGATATAACATCCTCTCTCGAGTTTACAATTCTTCAACTGGGCTGCAGTCCTGTTCACACTACAGCGGCAAATGACGGGGGGGTCTCGACAACCACTTGGTGTGTCGCGACGTTGAAACGGCGGTGTGCGTCAGACAGGTGCAACAACGCAGCTGCAACGGGTAACAGGCGCTTAGAAAAATAGAATCAAACAATGGCCTCAACATCCTCTCCAGCTTTCTTCAACCCTAAATAAAACTTGACGTGGACTTGCTGACTTTTGAGAAAAAAAAAATGAAACGTAAGGTATCTCCTAGCATCACAAATAAACGATCCAATGCAAAAACAACCCACAGGTAAAACCGATGAACTACACGGTTCAAGCTCAACCGCTTGTGATTATCAAAGAAAACAAATGACTAAGGGGTTCATATTCATCTATAATGATTGATTTTAGTGCATAGCAGTTGCTTTACTGAACGGTCACTTCATCGACCGACATTTTAGCAAACGGTCCTGTTTTTGCCCACACATTACGGAAACGTCCTGGATAAGCTGAAACAACTACCCATACTTGTAGACAGGAGGGATGCTCTCTCCTCTCTTCAATAATATACTCCTTGCAGGCCCGCACCTCCCAAGGGTAACCAGCGGACGATTCTCGTCGCCTTGCCCGCATTTCACTAAGACCAATCCAAAAGTATAAAACATAATCGCGAATAAAACTGAAAAAGCAATGCGACTGCTGTTTTCGTACAAAATACCCATCCCATCATGCTGGCTCCTTTCTAAAGCCATCTTGGTTACCATGCACACATAAAATTTGCTCGCTAAAATGAACACTGCTATTCGCTGAAACACTGCTTGAGCGAAAATTGTGAGCAGGGTTTTGTTTCACCAAATTCTGCTTGCTTAGATGAATAACACCCATTACGAAAAGCAGCCGAGAGAAGCCCTTGCACTTTTCCAGACTGGACGGCTCAGCGCAACTGCAACCATATCGAGATGCAAACACCTAGACAACGCATGGTTGGAGCCGCAACTGCACCACATGGAAGTATAGAAACTGGCTGTGTGCAAAGCTTTTAAGTGCCAAGGTTTTCAGAATACTAAGACGAAGAACAAATTAATCTCTTCCGGAACGCAGTTTTCTCTTAAATTCAAGTGGCAAGTTACTATTTAGGTTACTTATTTAAGCTACTACATTGACAATCAGGCAAATGGTGCTCGATTGTCAAATAAAAACTGGTGAGGCTTACTCGTAAATAGTCTCGACTCTATACATTCATAAATTTATTCTAGGAGTGTGGGAGAAAGTTTGTTGCGATAGTATGGATAGCACGAGAAATGTCCACATTTTGACACTCATCAGCCTCAAGTAAAGGAATGATTACTCAAATGCAGGTGCAAACTTTAACGGAAGTATTTTTTTCCCCTCCATATCTCGACCTGCTAGACACCCCTTTTGCGCTATTTTTAATATGAATTCCCAGTGCAACAGAGCAGAAGGTACGATGTACGATTCAGCTGGCACTGCCTCTTGCGTAGTATTGGCAAAGCTTTTGTCCGATCTGCTCTCAAATAGTTGCATTATGGCACGAAACTGCGACAGCACCGAGCAAGAAAAGCAAGCAGCCGTCATCGAAATAGGTGCAGCTCTTTACTCGCCGTCGAGTCAAAAATATACGGCACCTAGTGGCTAAACCATGAAGTAGCAAAGCCAGGAAAAGTTTTGCTGGAGCCGTGACCAGCTTGCATAGACCTCCTTGAAGGTTATATAGAAGCCTGCATCAACAGCACATCTGCACGCGAGCTCCAGTTTGCCACCCCCGGTTGGAGGTGCAATTGCTTCGTCCGTTCTGATTTGTGCCATTTTTGCCCTTGTCCCCAAGACATAAGTTGCAAGTTTAGCCTGCATACAAAAAGTATAGCAGGTGACGAACAAGCAGAGAACTAGACGAGCCCAGGCTCCAACAACTCGCCGACATTCGCAGCACGTCCGATTAGACAAGACGCAAAGTGTGCCATAATATGTATAGTACCTACGAAGCAGAGGATGGGCACACCCACACATCGAAAATAGACTAGCTCATTCACTTTTTTCTGCTGACCCGACATTTGTACGCTCGTTAGCTCGAATCGGAAATTGTGCACGGAGGAACTGTGCACCTATGGCTCTCAGATGCCATCAAAATGCACGCTCCAACTTCATGGTCAGAGCAGAGCAATTGCACGGTTGTGCCATCTCAAAACATAGTGCTAAACAACAGACAAGCATACTGCAAGTAGTTTGTTCGAGTAGCTTCGAAATAATACGACAAAAAATTAAGCTCGGAAAAAGTTAGGCAAGGTGGCTGGAAGTGGCTCACGCCCAAAAGGAGCAGCAGGTCCCGGGAATAATCCTCAAAATCGTTGCCGGAACAAATGCGGCATTCCTTCGTCACCCAATTGTACTCTAGGGTCCTTCCTCAAATGCAGACAGTCGATCCGCCAGAAAGAGTGCATGCACGCTGTCTTGCACTGCACCCAGCGTTTTACAGAAGGAGCTAAACTTGGCACAGTCCAAAAGGGTGTAATCTAATGCAATGATATCTATTCAAGTTTACTTGCAACTGGGCCTCCCAAGTACTGGAGTACTCTGAAAGTTATCTGCTGCTGCTCCCACTAGGGGTCATTGCAAACTGAGCATTCCAAGTGGAAGAGAAACGGGTGGTGTCATTCAAAAATGGAATACACATATGGCAACAAGCTATGGAGAAGCATGCACCCACAATATAGTGTACTGAATATTTTCCCTTAAAGGTGCACTAAAGACGTTTCTGAGATTGTCTGTTCTTGGTGATAACTCAAACTACAGAACTGTAGCATCCCAGAAACCGAAAAATAATGCTCGTGCGACGTCTATTTCCCTACTAAAAATGATATAAGTTTGTGCCACGACCCTTTCTGAGCGGAAAAATCTGGAACACAGAATTGAGCGGAGGTGCCGGCAGCGTGATGACGGGCGCGCGTCAGCCAGTCGCAAGCCACCTTTCCGAGAGAAGCAACTTGCGACTGGCTGACGCGCGCATGCCCGTCGTCACGCCACCGGCGCCTCCGCTGGATTATGTGCTCGAGATTTTTCCGCTCAGAAAGAGGCATGGCACAAACTTCTATCACATTTTTAATAGGAAAATAGATGTTGCACGAGCACAATTTTTCGATTTCTGGGATGCTAAGATCTTGTAGAATGAGTTATCACCAAGAACAGACAATCTCAGAAACGTCTTTAGTGCACCTTTAAGACGGAGGAAAATAAAACAAATATGAACCTGCATCATAGCACCATTCAACACTTTACAATGGCCTGCCAAGTCTCGTTTCCTTGATCACACGCTCATCAAGAGAATTGCCCCTTCCTCTCAAACCAGTAGACAAAGAAAAGTTTGAGTGCAGCGAGAGAAAAGAGGTCTTCAAAATACTCCCCCATGGGCAATTTCAGAAACCCGTCTATAAAACTTATTAACGATTCAGGGTTTGGCAGAGACTAAAGCACAGTCATATTTACTATTCTCTAAGCAGCGCACAAAAAAATAGTGCTCATTTTCCATAATACTCTGCCTAAAAGAAGGCTCTCAAAAATATTTACACAAACACTTAAGCAACAAAAAGCAAATGCAGCCAGCATTGTTTTACTGCCTTTAGTGCCACACATGACCAGGCCACTCTTCGTACTTATGGGAAGTGCTCACACGCATCAAGCACAAAGACTGTTCAAAATCATTGCCGTCCCTCACTTGACAGTCATCGCTATACGACCCTTTGGTTTCTTTATGTACATTCTGCCTACAAATCTCCAGACAGACAAGCGTGTGCTAACCTGTCCCTGGGAGTGTGGGCTTCCAACGATTGCAAAGGGAATAAAGCTTGAGCTTACAAACGATCGTAGAAAGAAACGTCTTAGGGAGTCTACCTGTAGCCCACATCAATGCTCATCATCCTCGGACAACTTAAATTAATGTGAGCACCGGATAGACTCGAGACTCCAGTGCTTCCACGCAGGCCTCGCACCAGCCTGCGTGCAAGTGGGACATTTCTCGGAGCAGACCGGTCGGACAGAGATCAAACGACAGACACAGTTCGTCGTCACAGTCACTGCCGCAAAGATCCAGCAATGTAGCGAGCGACCATATATCTCCTGTTGGAGCCAACGCTTCGTCCAAACGCAACGCAGGCCCCCACGAGACTTTGGATACCATCGAGATCACAAGTCCGGCTCGCGGGGGGGCCCCAGGCGGGTCCCAGGTGACCATGGGGCCCTCCCACGAGACGTCAGCCGGGGCTCGAGAGCGCCGCCCTCACTCCTCGTCAAGGGGTGCGAGGGCGCACACCACAGCCTTCATGAAGGCGGCGGCGGCGAGGGCGGCGTAGGGCTGCCACTCGCGGCCCTTGCTACCGTCCTTGTAGTCGGCGATGCCGCGCACGAAGGCGTAGTTGTCCTTGCGGTTGCCAAACACCGACTCCACGACCGAGTCGAAGCCCGTGTCGAAGGCGCGCACCCCGTGCTCCTCGGCCAGCGCGTGCCGCTGGGCGTCCTCGCGCACCGCGCTGCCGCGGCCGGACCCCACGGGGCCCAGGTGCACGACGGGGCGGCCGGGCAGCCGGGGGTCCGGCGTATCTCGGGGCGCAGTTGGGTGGCCCACCTCAATGAGGTCCTTGCCCCCGATGGACATGTACAGGTGGTCCGAGGAAGCCGGCGGGCGCGAGAAGTCCGACTCCTGGTCCGCCAGGGCGGCCGCACCCTCCCGGATGTAGTCCTCCCAGGGACGCAGGCTGGGGTCGAGGGCACCCTGCTGCCACAGCTGCTCCGCCACCTCCTGCAGCCTGCGGGCGAATGACCAGTGTCACCCGGACGACGCTAGAAACCCTCGGCCGCGGAAGACATTTTGTCGACGCGCTTTTCGCATCTGGTTGCACCGTTGACGATCGTGACAAAATTAAAGATTGTTCCAAAGGTAACTTTGCAACGGTCTTTGCCATCGACGATGCTCGTTCGGCGTCTGCTGAATGCTGGTCCTTCCAGCCCCCTTTCCTCCAGGATGTTTTAGAGTGTCTCCTCGAACTCAATGCTATCTGAAGTTGTAGGATGGTACGGGACTTAAACCAAACGTATCGAAGTACCGATACAGTCGAGGTTTGGTCCGATAATAACTAACTTCAGCCTCTACACATTGGCAAGGGGACCGAACTGCAACGACAGATCCTCAAGGTCTTTGCCCCCAAAGTTCTATATTTACGCCGAGAAAACCGAGCAAGCTAGGGCAACAGTCACTTTCCCAAGCAGGGACAGCCCCGCGGACGGTGCGGATATTACCAATTAAAAGGTTTAAAAAGTGTGAACAAAAAGACTACAAAGGAGACACAAAGACAATGGGAAAGGCACTGTCTCAACTGATTTCATTAAAGTCATCATCACATATACACACACTCCTCTGCCCGACCCCCATCGCAACCCTTTTCCTCGTTGTCTTTGTTTCTTCTTTGTCCTAGTTTTATCTGCGCTTTTTAAACCTTTTAGTCAGTAGGAACTAACTAGCCCAAACCCAAGTTTTAATGCAAACACATGTCTCTCACCTAAAAAGAACGAGCGCTTTGGGGTGCTCTCCTAAAATGTCCGCACTCGGCGAGCCTCTTTGCCTTTCCTTAGGGCCTTGGCAAAAAACCCGACAAATTCTTCTCGCGACAGTCCGAGTGCATTGCCATACTTTGTCCCTCCTAAGCCGACAGGGACGGACCGCCGGACCAATCAACCATCTCGACTCCTCCTGCCCTCTGCGTGTGCATACGAATGCGATCACATGGTCGACAATCGGTACTTGCGGCTACCTTCGCCTAGCAGCTCGGCCCCGACAGGGGCGGCGTGCCCACCTGAGCTCCGGAGGGCACCAGGTCTTGACCGTGTAGGCAAGTGCTGCGTCTGTGGGCGAAGGGTCCCTGCTGCCAGGCCGGCGGTCCGGCGACCGCCGCTGGGGCTCCGCAAACAGGTACACGTGGCGCCCCTTCGCGGCGCCAGTCGTTGAGCCATTGGTGGCGGCTGCTCCGCACGGCGTTGGCGCGGACACCACCACGTCTCCCAAGCGCACGTGGCGAGAGTGGTCCGTGTAGTGAGGCACCCCGCCGCCCACGCCGACCAAAAACACATAGTCCACCTTCTGGAATGTCCCTGCGACCGAGAAACGACGGCGTTTCGAGTCGGTTCCTGGGGCGGGGTAGACGACGAATGGGGCACCGATAAGGGTTCACTTGTTTTCCCATAGTTTTTCCAAGAAATGGTCTCGTCATGGAACCTCCTTTCAATGCAAAAGATGTCCGAGAGCTGGTATCCCAGAGGAAAGCGTGATGAACGCTACGGAAAAGGTTACGTAATGCGAAACCCGCACTTCGAAGCACAATCTGTACATAAGAACACAAAATTGAGAAGAAATACTAATTAAATGATAAGAAGAAACAAAATTCTAAATTCGCCTTAATGGGAATCGAACCCACGATTATGAGCCCGACACTCCACCACCATGCATGGCCATGGTGGACCCTGGAATTGAGGCAGAAGTGGTTAATTAGCTAGCTAATTACCTAAAGGGTTTTTATTTACTTTTTTTTATTTTTGTTTTTAGGGGCTTAGTTTTGTTTTGAAGTCATTTCAAGGGTGAAAGTTCACTTCAGAGCTAGACTGTATTGGAGTCAAGTGTGACTTATACAAGCATATATGACCTCAGAAATAAAAGTTTTAAAAGTTAATAAAAACCTTTGTATGCCTCTTTTTTAGTGGCCGCCGTGGCCACGCTCTTGGTCCCAGGACTAAAATTACCTTAACACAAGTTCCCTTTTAAGAAAAATTCTGGACCGAAACCGACAAAAACAGCCTGCATCTATCCAGCCAGCGATCCACAACAACCCATGCTCAGCGGTGACATTGCCAAGGTCACACCCCAGAAAGAGGAGCGAGCGGGCTGTTTACCATGTACCAAGATGGCGAAGATGAATCTGTAGAGGTGTAACCAGCTTTGTGACATGTGATATGCGGCGAAGATGAATCTGCCCAGTTGCAATCCTAGGTGGTCGCATTTACTGTTGGGTCTGTATCGGAACTAACCACACTGGGCACTAGAGGAGTATGGTACGGAAGTAGGAACCCTGTGCGCATGACTATCCATCTTTGTTCTCTTTGTGCCCAAACTCGTCGCGTATCTTGTAACCGACTTGTTGATCTAATCGTTTCACTGACATTAAACATTTGTCCGAAAAATAACATTTACAAACCACTCGAACCAAAGAGGCGTACACGTCATTACACGAAATACAGCTGTTTCTCGTTATAACAATTAAAGTCAACAGGACAGCAAACAAATGCCATATAAGCGGTAATTTGATAAAAGCGAGAGACCCAGAAAAACAGTGACAGCAGCCTCAAAGGTGGATGGGAAAACTGTGGAACACAGATATATATTAATCAAACAAATCTAAGTAACGATTGACTTGTGGCGCCTTTACTGAGGAGTAAAAAGAATAATTAAGCGGAGTTCCATTCGAGTTGCTGCAGGCATTGCAAAAGCATTGTCACCGCCGGTATTTCTCAAAGTGCCTCTCCGACGTCTCCGTCTTTCCCTTGGCCACAAACAAAGTCTATGATCGCAGCATATGTGGCAGGAGCAACAATGGCAATGTCCACATCGACGAGCGTGAACGAATCGAAGTTATCCTCGGGTGGCTTCATTAACATGTTTGTACATACCGGTAGAGATTGTTGCATCTCTAAGAATCGTGCGCCAACTCGGCAAGCGTGCGTGCACAAAAATGTCTGACGTGCACAAAGCAGTTCTCGATATTTTATCTTCAAATCACAGGCACATTTTTCCTGGCGCGAGAGGCTCTTCTCAAATCCGTCCGGTACGTCAGGCTCGTCCTGCAAGATGGTCGACAGTGGTAAATGATCGATGCCGGAATGTCGTATTCCTCGGCAATTTTGGACTTGGGTAATGTTTGGAGGTGGGCTAGTCGGTGATGCATTGTAAACATAGAAATAAAACAGCGCAAACGAACACAAGGACAAGTAGAAGAAGGGACACAGACACAGCGCTGACTCACGACTTACTTTCTTTCTCATCTTTTTAAAACATATCAACATAAGAAAACAAGAAATTAAAAATAAAAGAAGAAGAATCCAGCATGTAGGACATCCTCTCTGTCATATGCCATCTGAGGAATTTTTACAGAAACTATACATTATATACCATTACAAAAAAACCAAACTAAAAAAAGAAGGAAGTAAATAGTAGGAAAAGATATAACTACACATCATTCCAGCTCAGGTCTGAGCAAAGCCAAAACCCACAGCGCGAGCCCTAATGCTCTGTGCGTACCTGTCTTGCACGCGGCCTCTTCGTATGTCGGCACCCTTTTCTGGCTGCATGTAGGCACGCGCCTGTGATTATAGGATCACTCCCATGGAAGCATGGATCACTCCCATGGGCTTATGAGCCTAGAACAAAAAAGTCCCTCCTTAGCTATGAATCTACGCACTCAAAAGTTATAAAAAGAGCTATTGCAAAATCATGTTTGAGAGCTTCTTTATTGAAATCCTGTGTTCACAGAAGTTTCAACAGCTTTCTGGCTCAAGTCGATATGTTAACAAAAGCAGGTTTCCCGAAACTTGTCATAGTGGGGGTAGCGGAGTCACTTTTAAAATTATTCAGGAATCCCCTTAACATACTTGACAATGTTAGACAAAAGCCTGCCTCTCGACCGCTGGTAATACGATATTTGCACAGTTTTTCCCACAGGATCAAAAAAAAAGGCTGTTAAATACGAAGTTCCCATAGTCTTTTCAGCACCTTCCAAGTTATCTCGTTTGTGTGCGTCCATTAAGAGAGCAGGACTTCAGCGTGTAGGGTGTGGAATAAACCATCGCATCAAATATGTAGCTTGTGCTGTGGGGGTCGTTTATAAAATACCCTTTTCATGTGGTAAAGTGTATATTGGGCAGACGGGCAGATGTATTAAAGTTCGAGCTCGGGAGCATTATCTGTCTTTGAGGTCTTCCCCTTCGGGTCACCTAGCCATTCATTGTGATAAATGTGGTTGTTCCCCTCGGTTAAGTGATATTGAAATTTTGGCTAAACATTCACAAAAAACGGCAAGGGCAATTCATGAAGCGTTTTACATTCGACAACACGGTCCCGATCTATGCGTCGGTTCAGGGTCAGTGACGTTATACAGCGAAGAGTTTGAGTTTCTTCGGAGTTTGGGCACGTTTGTTTAATACTTTCTTTCTGCTTTCATGGGAGTGATCCTATAACCACAGGCACGTGCCTACATGCAGCCAGAAAAGGGTGCCGACACACCAAGAGGCCGCGTGCAAGACAGGTACGCACAGAGCATTAGGGCTCGCGCTGTGGTTTTTGGCTTTGCTCAGACCTGAGGTGGAATGATGTATAGTTATATCTTTTCCTACTATTTACTTCCTTCTTTTTTTAATTTGGTTTTTTTGTAATGGTATATAATGTATAGTTTCTGTAAACAATTCCTCAGATGATATTAAAAAATTCGAACACCAACCAAGCCCTTCTGTAGGGACCCAACGTTTCAAGGCCAATTCGGCCTCTTCTTCAGGGGCGACTACGGCTATGGCCGTTGAGGAGCAGTGTCCTTTTCTTTTTCTTCTACGGCGTGTGTCTGGTCTTCTTCTACGGCTCTGCCTTTTTCAATAATGTGACGAAGCCCATTCACATAGGCGGATGGTAAAGCCCCTAGAGATCTGTTGATGTTCTGTGGCGTTGTTTGAATGTGCCATGATTCTAGGAACAGTCTTTTTCGAGGATTTGTCTCAACGTCAACGATGCATGCGTTGTCGAAGTCAATGCGATGGTCTTTGACGTCGCAGTGCTCAGCAACCGCGCTACGCTCGTGATCGAACTTGCGCACGTTGTTTTTATGTTGACGGATTCTCTCCCTAAAGTTCTTCGTTTCGCCGATGTATGAGGCCGCGCAAACCCCGCACGGAATCTTATATACAACGCCTTGGGCCCTTTCTTTACCAGGGCGATCTTTTGGGCGTGGCATGAGTCGTCCAAGGGTAGACACAGGTTTGTGCGCTAGTTGGATACCCTCTTTCGCAAGCACACGTGCCAGTGCCTCGCTTGTTCCGTTGATGTAGGGAACGCTGATGCGGGAGGTTGGGCGGAAATTCACACTTAACTGTTGCTGCACGTGTCGTTGGTTTCGGCCTACACGGCGGGCAACGCGATGGATGAAGCTGCTCGTGTAGCCGTTTTTCTTAAGGTCAGCAATGACGGTTCGTTCCTCCTTTCTTTTGTCCTCTTCTGATGAGCAGATGGTCTTTGCCCTGGTTAAAAGTGTCCTGACCACCGACGCCTTATGATTGGCTGGGTGGTTGGATTGGAACTGGAGGTAGCGTCCAGTGTGCGTCGACAACGCATGCATCGTTGACGTTGAGACAAATCCTCGAAAAAGACTGTTCCTAGAATCATGGCACATTCAAACAACGCCACAGAACATCAACAGATCTCTAGGGGCTTTACCATCCGCCTATGTGAATGGGCTTCGTCACATTATTGAAAAAGGCAGAGCCGTAGAAGAAGAAGACCAGACACACGCCGTAGAAGAAAAAGAAAAGGACACTGCTCCTCAACGGCCATAGCCGTAGTCGCCCCTGAAGAAGAGGCCGAATTGGCCTTGAAACGTTGGGTCCCTACAGAAGGGCTTGGTTGGTGTTCGAATTTTTTAATATTAATTACTCCCAACCAGACAGATCTCTGTCAAATGTTTACTTTTAAATTCCTCAGATGGCATATGACAGAGAGGATGTCCTACATGCTGGATTCTTTTTCTTTTCTTTTTAATTTCTTGTTTTCTTATGTTGATATGTTTTAAAAAGATGAGAAAGAAAGTAAGTCGTGAGTCAGCGCTGTGTCTGTGTCCCTTCTTCTACTTGTCCTTGTGTTCGTTTGCGCTGTTTTATTTCTATGTTTACAATTTGGACTTGGGCCGGCCAATTTTTCCAACTTCGGAGATGGAAGTGAATTTCGGTAAGCACTCCCATCCGACAAACGTACACGCCGCAGGCGGGAGTGTCGGGGGCTCCCAAAGAGACAATCTTCACGAGCTCCTCTGCTTCCTCGGCCCGGTTTCAACGGGACTCTGGTCGTGGGCGCCGTGCGTAGCGCCGGAAGGTGGTTGCTGCTCGCTAACCGCATCGGCATCGCAATTGGTGCTCAGCCCTCCGTCACCCGTTCTCCGTTCGCTCGCTGTGCCTCAAAAGAGGAGGCGGGGGAACGCAAGGATCTCCCGTGTGCCTCCGTGTAGACTCGCGTGCTTTTGGCACTTCGGCCTAGTAATAAGCATAATCGGCCGCCGATAGACGGTTAAAAAGGTGTGCATTTCGGTCAGGACCGTGCTAACCTTCATGAAAGCAATAATGCTAATAAAGCGATTTCATTATAATGATCAAGGGACTGTTTAATACAGTTTGCAACGATCAATGTGGTTCTGAAAACCGGTAGCGGTCTTTCCAAAGCCTTTCGGCAGACGGCCGGTCTACCCAGCAATCGTTCTGTAGTTTGGTCTTTGGCGGCTGACCCCTGAAACAAGCAGCAGAGCCCGGTACGGATGCCCATCGCACAACTTGGCCCAAGTGGGGTGCGAAGGACCGGCTGTGCACTCCACGCCAGCCACCTACCGAGCAGGCGGGTGGTGGTGTTGCCGGCGGCGATGATGGCACCCCGTGAGTGTCCCACGGCAGGCAGCTTGGTCGAAACCACTCGGTGGGCACCAATGTTGCCCAGCGTGTACACGTTGGACTCGCCTGCAATGAGAGAATGCCTCAGGATAAACGCCACGAAGCAGAAATTTAAACAATCTGCACAGTCACAGCGGAAACCAGACGTGGGTGTGCCGTTACGAAGCTACTAAACACTGGCCATTACTCATTAACCACTCAAATTGTTGTATGTGCATACATTGTACAGAGCACAATTTTCTGGGTTTAGATGCTTGCAAGAGGCAATCAATGGAAACTGAGGAGTGGAATCAACCATTTGTTTATCAGACACTTGCGAATATAAGAATGGAAAAGAAGGGTTACAGATGTTCTTCGGAAAGAGTAATTGTGAGTAGTGTCAAGGCCCGTTCACACACTTGCGCTTGACTCTGACCACCCGAGACAAGACCGAAGCCAGTTAGGATGGATTACGACTGGATGCGCAGTGATGCAGCCGATCATAAGCCATCACAAAAGACTTAAGAACCGGTCTTGTCTCAGTCGGTCAGAGTCAAGCGCAAGTGGGTGAACGGGCCTTTACTCAAAATTAAAGAGGAGTATGTTGTAAAAATGGAAAAAACGCACTTGCACAACCCAAAATATTTCCCACAAGAAAAAATATATTCAGGTATTTAGCGCACAAAGTAGAGAGAAGAACAGGACAGAAAAGAGCACCACTCACAGCTATGTTTACTGACAAGAAAAGAAAGAGAGAGAAAAAACCAAATGATCTGCCGCGGACTCATGCATCTACCTCCAGCCACGAGAATGACAGTGGCTCGGTCATCCAAGCTTGTGTGTGCCTTTCATTGTCTGTGGAAGGAATTCTTTCTCCTTGTTAGACAGCGCCAAAGATTCTACACTAATACAGTTCCTGTCCTCCCATAGGATGTAGTCTGCGGCGGATTATTTGGGTTTTTTCACTCTCTTCCTTTTTTGTCAGTAAAGGTAGTTGTGAGTAGCGCTCCCTTTTCTGTCCTTCTTCTCTCTACCTTGTGCGCTAAATACCTCAATATGTTAGACTACCAACTAGCCCAAACGTCAACTTTACCCAAGTAATTTTTGTTTTTCGCACATAGTTTTTACATTGCACGAAGTAGGCAGTTCCTACAAATTTTAGTTATCGTAGACAACTCCGTTCTTTCCAGCATTGAAATGTGCACATTCTGGTGAAATTACAAATTGCCGATTTACCACACTAAGCGCATATTCCCAAATTTGCAAGATCTGAGAAAATATGCACAGTACATTTATACGTAAAATTGATGACCGAACAAGCGCCCATCCCCCATTTGTCTGCGATTATCTCTCAATTCTGAGTGGGTGCTTACCCAGTATTTTACAGTAATCCACCCACCGCATATGAATTCCTCTTACTACAGTTTTCGTTGTGAAAATGAGCGGAGCAACAACGCTTAAAGGTGTACTCCGCCGATTTTTGAGCTACCTCAACTAACTATATTTTCTGACTCCCAGGCCTTTACCCTTTCTGGAATGCTATTTAATATCGTGAAATTCATAATAGTTATTGCGAAATCGGCAAATGAAAATGATGCAAAAACAGACATTCAAATATACCCGCCCTTTTCAGGGCCGTGACGTCAGTGGAAGTTCAGCTTGCCAGTCGGGCGAGTAGTCTAAAAAATAGAATATGCCAATTATTTGTTCCGTGCTGGAGCACGGGGACTGGAGCGAGCTTCCAAGGCATTCATTTGACACCATAAAACTGCTTCAAATCAGTTCGGAACAAATTCTACAGTCCAAAGAGTGAGCCCCTGCACTTCCAATGACGTCACATTTTCATTGTTGCCAGTAGAGACTTTCAGTTTGAAAAACACGGTGAGGACCAAAATTGTAAATTCAATAACTTCGTGAAAAAAAATTATTTTGACCTAATATTTGGGATACTATTTTGGCGATGTTGTTTGGCGAGTTTAGCAAAATTTAAAGCAAATCGGGGACCATGAAGAAATCGGCGGAGTACACCTTTAATGACGTCCGCCACAGTTAAACAGCCCTAGCTACCTGATCTGAAAAATAAAAAAGGGCACAAGGTGGCTGGTTCTGAGAACAGTATCTTTTTTCCCAAGAAAGGGACTGAAATATACACTGACCTTCCTCACATTTGTCTAAAATTAGTTTTTCTAATTTTTTTTCTTTTATTTTTTTTTACTCCCCTTGTGCTCTGCCTTCCTCCTCATTCTTTTAGTACTCTTTTTCTTTCCTGTTTTCTGCTTGTTTTTCAGACTGGGTAGTGCCACCAAATTGTGATCGACCTCACTAACTACTATACACCATTCTAGTGGTGTAATACACACACAAGTAATTAACTACCTGGAAGATCATAACATCATACATAAATATCAGCATGGTTTTCGCCGAGGATGCTCATGTGACACGCAGCTCGCTGGCTTCATTCATGACATACATTCAGCTCTTGACGGTGGATCCCAGGTTGATGCTGTTTTCCTCGACTTTTCTAAAGCTTTTGACCGTGTCCCTCATCACCGGCTTCTAACCAAACTGTCCAGGCATAACATTCACCCTAACATTTTGGCATGGGTAAAAGATTTCCTTTCGTCTAGAAAACAGTTCACGTCCGCTAACAATTGTAACTCTTCCTTCAAACCAGTAACCTCGGGAGTCCCACAGGGTAGCGTACTAGGTCCACTACTGTTTCTAGTCTACATCAATGACTTGCCATCCTGTGTCTCATCCAGCATTAGAATTTTTGCTGACGATTGTGTAATTTACCGAATAATTTCCTCTGTCAATGACCAGAAAGCTTTGCAAACTGATCTAAATGCTATTAATGCATAGTGCTCTTCCTGGCTAATGACCCTAAATTGCTCTAAAACAAAGTTTATGTCTTTTACTAATCACGTACCCCGGATTCCTACCTCCTATGTGTTAAATAATAATACTGTTGACCTCGTCTCCACTTATAAATATCTTGGAATTCATTTGCAACCTGATCTGTCATGGCACTACCATATAAAGCTCACCCTGGCGGGTGCTAACCGCTCTTTCGGATTTCTCAAGCGTAACCTTAAACAGGCTCCTCCTAACATACGCAAACTTGCCTTTTCCACACTAATACGTCCAAAATTAGAATATGCATCAGCCATTTGGGATCCCGAACATGCTTACATCATAAACGACATTGAATCACTGCAAAATCGTGCCGCTCGCTTCATATTTTCAGATTATTCACGTCATTCCAGCGTCACAGCACTAAAACGCCGAGCAGAGCTACCCAAACTACTCCATTGTCGCAAACTTTCACGCCTATCTCTTTTCCATAAACTTTACCACCACGCGTCACTTCACGGTGATTTCTTCGAGCCACCTGCCGTTATTTTTCCACGCCGCGATCACCCCTTCCAAGTTAAACGCATAACCTGTAAAACATCTGCCTTTTCCCGGTCATTCATTCCACGTACCACAATCGATTGGAATAATCTACCATCGCACATTGCCTCAGAAAAAGACACCACGAAGTTTCAAGAACAAATTCAAAATACTGATGCCATCTAACTTTTGCTGTTTTATATTGTTGTTTCATCTTTTCCGGAACGTGCAGAGCAAATGTGTACTATTTTGTTTTTACCTTGACTCAGCTTTATTGCAGTGTGATGAGTGAGTGTATGTTTTCTTATTCGTTTTTGAGTGTATCCTTTATTTTCTTTTTATTATTAAGTGTATTGATTGTTTTCTAGTATTCTCATATGTTGTTCAATGTGCACTAGTTCCTATTGGAACGATTTATGTACCCCCCCTATGTAATACCCTCTCACAAGGGCCTTTAGGGGTAATATGAATAAATAAAATAAATAGTGTTTACAAAACCACAGCCCAGCACGTGCGTGTTTGTTGCTTCAAAAAGTAAGCAAATCACATGGCATACACAAAAACACTGAAAATGGTACCAGCCAGAAGCTAATTATTGGAACAGTCTATGCAAGAAAGATTTGTATACGTCTGTTTTCCATCCTTTTTTTTTTTTGCGTTTTACGTACCATTACTTGTTGCTTACTGAAAGAGTAACAAAAATATGTTACTTTTCTCGCTCGCAAGAAAAGAACGATAATTACTTTGTAAGCAATAAAGTAAGGAGCTACAGGCAACTGCATAACTTTGAATGTACTTCATAGAAGTCTGACAAAAACAATTCCATTTGGGGCGAACTCTTCTTTTACAACACATCGGGGATCTAATACCCACACAGGCAGCCCTAACTGCAGTTTAATCTGGCCTCGGTCGCACTTACTGCAATTAAGGTGTAACCAGGGTATAAGACAGCTCCCTGCACAGTATTAAATCTTGACAGGAGCCCATTTGTCACTTGATGGCAAACAAATGTGGTAACTGTTGGCAGCAGCCTCCAAAAACCGGAAGAGAAGGGCACTTGCATGTCACTTTCAACAGCGAGCCTCTTTGGGCAGCCTGAAGAAGGACGTCCACAAGACAAGCACTGACTGGCACAAACAAGGAGGCCAGAAGGCAGCCCAACCCCAGGCTTCAGCCGGTAGGTAGCCTCAACCGTTCGACGACAGACGTTGCATCAACCAGCGGCTTGCGTCTGGCGACACGGCCGAGCGCCGTGCCGCTTGCGGCAAGGTACGCCGGGGCTCACCTTCCGTCTTGTAGCGGACAAAGGTGTTTTTGTTCTCGATCATGACGTCGACGGCCAGCTTCTCGCAGTACTGGGCCGTGATGATGGCTATGGTCGGCTGCTGGGAGCCGTGCACCGTGGGCATCTGCCGCACCAGCTTCACCTCTGCAAGGAGGCGTCAAAAGGAAACGGTTTTTCGGTAGCCGTTACGAATAAAAGACGAGCCGAGAAACCTGGGGGCAGCAGATCTTCTTTCCTTTTTTAACACTCTAAGAACTCTACATACAGTCCCGCGATTTGCCAGCAATGTGCATGCATAAGCAAATGATGGGTATGTGAGGAAATAGGTATATACAGTTGAAACACAATTTTACAAAACCTGACTTAACGAAATTCTCGATTTAACAAATTCTAAATTCCCCACAGATTCTCGTAAAGCTCCATGCTTTTATGAACCAAAAATAACTAAATAAATGTACCCAATTTAACCGAGCATTCCCGAAAAAAGGAAGCGCGAGAAAGGGGTAATTTCAAATTCATTTTGCTTAGAATGCCTCGAAGTTTGTTGCTGCCGTTCCTTCCAGCATTAAGATTGCATGACCCTCGTTTCTTTTTTATGGAAAAACAAACTCGGCACTCTGGACATCCAGTCGATTATACCAGATGTTGCTAGCTGTTTCGGGACGTTTCAATCACGTCGCATGTGACAGATGGCACTGATGGGGTTTGCTGGTCAATCGGTTTCGGTACGGTTACGTTCGGTAGTACAGGGTGTCTCAAGGAGCAGCCAGGCTCTTTACATCGACCACAAAATTCGGTTTCTTAACCTATTGCGCTACAGTGAAACCCGTTTAGAACGAACCCACGTACAGCAAATTATTGTTGATATCGAACTCACAAAAAATTTAAATAAAAATGGATGTAAAAAGTACTTTTTATAACAAACAACATATTGGCTATATCGAACTTCTTTCCGCCGGGAAGGCTTACAAAACGTGCAAACAATCGTCTTCTAGCCTGTTTCTTCCCCCCAAAAAAAACCCTTAAGAAAAAAATTCTAAACGCTTAAGCCGCGAACAAAGTTAACAAAGAGCAGAGATTCAGTAAAGCAGAAAGCTAAAAAAAAAAAAAAAAATCACTGCACGCACGCAAAAAAAAAATAACTTCATCTCAAAGCGGTCGCCTACTAAGAGAAGTGATGCAGAAGGGGAGATAAGCTAAAAGAACAAACTCTGCAAGCATGCAAAAAAAGAAAGAAAAAAAATTATTTTAGGGCTTTTTACAAGGTGGAAGCGAAGAGATAACAGAGAAAAAGAAACTCTTGCCTTACAACGAACGCATCGTGGAAGTTCATAGTAAATGTTTTTTGCTATATCGAACTACTTGCTATATCGAACTGATCGAAGCGTTTCCTGCTGTTTGTTATAAACGGGTTTGGCTGTACGACTTTATGCATGCTTTGTCCATGGAGTTGAAAAGATTGCCTGCTAAAGACGCCAGCTCTTGTCGCTGTATGCTCGTTCGTTGCCGGCAGTCGGCGTCGCGACCGCTTGCGCCATCTTGTCTCCCGTGCGAAAAGGCGCCGTATTGTTTGAAGACCAGTGGCTTCGCTGCATTTCCATAGCAGCTAAGACTTTTTCTTTCTTTACTTTTTCCTCAGTAAAATTTGCTCTTTGCAAATTTTACAAAAAAAAATGCACCATCTGTGGACAACACTGCACAAAGCCTTAGCGCAATAGGTTTAGAAACCGAATTTTGCGGTTGATTTAAAGAGCCTGGCCGCTCCTTGGGACATCCAGTAGATCGCCCTCCCTTTAAAGGGGTTATGACACGAAAATTAAACGGATAGATTATTCTTGAAATGTAATGCTCATAGGCTACTTAGTATATACACCAAGTTACGCAATTTTTAGAGCTCTGATAATTGCAATATTCAATTTACGAATTTTTATAATTTTCATCTGGCGACCAGGCAACACTGCTCGAGTTAGTCACACCATGGTGTCCATAAACCACGTGACCATGAACACTCTCTCATTCTAGGCGCCCCCGTGATCGCCCAAGCTCTTCTCGTCGCGGTACGAACAAAACCGCTCAAACAGCTCGGTAAACTGAAAGCTATTCTCGCTCTCGCCCCCCGGCCGGTTGACCTTCCAGCCTGCATGCGCCTGCGAGACATTCCCGGACGACGGTGACTGCGGCGAACTCCTCGTCGCTGGAGCTCGTCGCCAGCGGGTCGCAGTCAAAATGAACAGCTTCCAACATCTCTTGATAGCAATCATTCTCATCGCTGCTGCGATCAATGTCGAACACTTCGACAAGGCGATCGATGCCGTAGACGTAATCGTCACAGACCGGATACTGGAAACGTGGAAGGTAAACGAGGAAGCTGAGGCTCGATACGCCAAGAGAGCCAAGTCTGTGAGTGCGTGCAATTAGACACCACGCTGGAGGCTGCCTACGTCATCAGCCTCCAGGTCCGCCCGGATCTGCCCCTCCGAGGGGCCCGCATATAAATCGATTTATCCACGAAACTATCGCGCCTTTTTCAAAACAAATTTAGTAGGATTATAGGAACATACAATGGGTCCTAGCAGTATAGCTATGTAATATTTTATTTTTGGCGTGTCATAACCCCTTTAAGCCAAACGACAGTGGGTTTGAATGGCAGGACCTTGCCAAGAGAAGAATTAAGAATGACAGAGAGGTCTTTTAGTCATTGCACCTCCAGCGCAAGCTTTCTACTTTCGTGTCTTGCGATCTTCGAGTGTGCATGCACAATGAACGCACAAAGAAATACGAGGGCATGCTGGATGCTAGGCATCAGGAAGAGACACCATGCGCTTGTTCTATCAGCGACCACTGTGTCGCCATGAAATGAAGCCTTGAAGAATAAAAAAAGCTCGCCCTAGAAGAAAACTCGGAAATCGTTCGTGTTCAGATCGAAAGTGCACTCTTTTCGCGTCTTTGATGGGGTATGCAAACAAGCCCCCCCCCCCCCGGCTGGCTCTCTCAATTTGCTCATAAAGGGGCAGAAATTGTGGTCTCCAAAAAAAAGCCTTCATTCATCCCCTGGAGAGTTCCAAGGTTTCTTCACACACTAATGGTTGTCTTTGCAGACTAAATTCATATGCGCATAAATCAATAATAATAATCCTCATTGGCTCTGGAGAGTCATGGCACATCAAATTTTCAGCATGTGAGCACTTCAGGAATGCATTATCGCGGTCTCTGGATGCCGTTATATTATAACTAGATTTATCAACCCTAAGGCCCCAACAATGCCATTTTCGATTTAACAAAGTTTTTAATTTAACCAAGTAATTCACAGCTCCCCTCAGCTTCGTTAGACTGAGCTTTAACCTTAATATAAAATTAACCGACCTCTGTAACTTTTGCACCATTGAACCCCATTATGATAATTAAATTCGACATTGGCCTCACACCCTCCATGGTCGAGTTTTCTGTAGACACCCTTCCAAATAGTGTACAAAAGAATGTATCGCCTTTCCGACACTACGTGCCAAGTAGAAACATAAAAAGTACAATGTTGAAGTTTAATTATATACAGCGTGAAGCAAAGGGATCGATGGCTGTTTGAAGGAACCACATAAATCGGTTTGTGATCCTATTAGGCTAAAATGTTTTACAGAGGTAACCGAAGTTAGAAAGTTACAAGTTAGACACCAAAAACTCTAAATCCTCCTTACCTATGGCGTCTGTCTGCTAAAAAAAAAGGCATCTGATTGGCACAACAGCCGACAGATGGCAGCATGGAATATTGCAACGGCCATGACGGGTGGATCCCTTAACCTCGGCAACAGCAGATCACGTTTCAGAGCCAGAAGCGATGCGCTTTTCTTCTGTGCATACCGTAGAATACCACGTGTCCGCCCATTCCCAGATTTGTAAGGTCTGAGAAAATATGCACAGTACATTGATATGCAAAATTTATGACCGGAGAAGCGCCCATTCCCCATTTTTTTGCGATTATCTTTAAATTTTGAGTGTCCGCTTACCCAGTACTTTACGGTAACTACTCTATTGTACAAATTATTCATAAAAAAAAAATGAAGATAAAAATAGAAAAACAAAACAGATATGTTGTCTCGTTTTTCAACAATTTATGTTCGGCTGCATGTCATTGTCCGTTTTGGACCATCTGGTTGTTACCGCATCTCTTTCTTTGTCTGAAACTTTAACATGTGCTGTTTTTGGGTGTTAGTCATGTTCATGGTGCACTTAGCTCCCAATGAGGTAGTCAAGGTTGCTCTTTAGCTCCTTCATACGCAGGGTGGCAGTGGACCAGTGGCGTATCCAGGATTTATTTTCGAAGGAGGGGGCGGGGGGGCGCTGAGGTGGCTGCGATGTCCATGCGGCGTGGAGGTAGGTGGGGGGGGAGGGGGGGGGGGGGTCAAAATGCATGTGTATTATAGGGTCGGGTGGATTTCTGGGGGGCTGAAGCCCCATAAGCCTCCCCCCTGGTTATGCCACTGCAGAGGACGAAAGAGATCCGCCCATGTTTGTTCTCGGGCAGAGATTCGGCAATGACCTCTGAGCTCTTCTACAATTGTATGCGGGTGACGTGCCTCAATGACGAGGGCAACCTCCAAAGAAAACTGCGGTGTCATCAGCCAAGCTGATGCTGAAAAATGAAATACTTTGTGCCTTCGTCGCTGACCTCCGCCTCGCAGCGCAGAGAGCGCTGCCTCCACCTGTCGGCTGTTGCTCCAGTTAGATGCCATTCGTCAGCGAACTGATGCCATAGGTAGGGATTTCAAGTCTTTCAATTCTAACTTTTTTACCCAGGTAAGTTATTTCAGTAAAACTTTTATAACTTTAACGCTCATTCTTCGGCCACCTCTCTACAAAACCTAAGCCCGATACATTCGAAAATTGACATATGCGGTCCCTTCAAACAGCCATTGATCTCTCTGCTTTACACCTACATATTGACCGGTGCGTGCCTGCAAACAAGCCTGCTACAGTCCACTAGTGGCAAGCCCCCGCGCATTTCCACTGTTCTTCAGTTTTTTTTTTTTTATTTCTTGCATTCTTTCACAAAATGTAATGCTAGAGGCACACGTGGGCTCCCACAAATATGTAGCAAATATTAGTTGAACGGAGAAATGCTGTCTTTCCCAAGTGCCGCACATTGCGGAATAGCAAATAAACACGCAACTGGCAACCTGCTGGGGCACGAAATAGGCCCGTAGCTCTTAAGTTTTGAGCAGCGCTCCCAGGCGAGGAAATGGAATATTTTTGGCTTGCATTTCGACCGTTTGTCATTACGCTTCCCCACTACAGTTTTTTCGTACTCTGTTCCATTATATGTGCCAGCGTAGTAGAGGCTACAAGAGCGAGCTCCAAGCCTTCAGTGTGTCAGTCTAGCGCGTGCCCTCATGCCGTGCGAGCATTGTCCAGGAGAATGTGCTTTTGCAAGCTTCAGCTTCGCTATCACGTGAAGTAAAACGTCTACCTCGTTAAGTGAAACACATGTGCTCGCGGAAGCTAAGAAAGAAAGCAATACAAACATTAAATCTAAAGGAATGTTTAATGGGACGCTGTAACCACAAGCTGCACTTTTTTTCTTTTTTTTTTTTTATTATACGTTTTGTTATCGCGTATCTACAGATGCTGAGATATGCTTGTAATCGAGCATGGCACATGCAGAATCGAACGTTACAGCGCCATGTAGATGGTGGATCCAGAATAATATGGTCGCGTCGTCCCCTGTTTCAGAGCAACGAGTCTATACTAGGCAGCCCACGTTAAGACAGATACTGGATGTAGACTGCCCCACACTTTTTTGCACCGATGTGAGCTAGTGCATGTAAAGCAAACGAGCCCATTGTTGCACCCTCACGCAATCGACTCCCGCCAAACCCGGTGAATAACGGCTTTTTGGCAAACTAGTTCACAGACGGCCGCTCCCCGTGCTAACATGTGATGCTTCCTGAACCCAGTGGTATCAACTGACCGGTGTCGTTCTGGACGACTCGCGTGTAGCTCCCTGAATCCATCTCCTTGATGAGGTTCTTGGCCAGCAGCTCCCGCAGGTGCAAGTGCACCTCCTCCTCCGCCGACAGGGTAGACCTGCGGGGAAGGACGCCACCCGGGCAAGTGCCTCGTACACGTCCATGTCCAGTTGCGCTGTTCCAATGTGAATACGTACCAACTTGCCCAGTCATCCATTCTGTTGAATTTAGAATATTGGGACAAGCTCCACCGACAAAGCCCTCCCCTCTTTCCACTTTAGCAGAGTGAGAGGTGGAAAGGAGGTGAGCGGAAAGGAGGAAACCACCAATCAGGCGAGCAGAGAGCTTTGTGGGAGGGGCTTGTCCCGGTGTTCTAATCCTGCAGCTGGCTAAGCACACTTAACATTTTTAGAAGCAAAACATGGATAAAGTCAGTGCCTAGTGCATATTATCTGAAGAAAAAAATTTTTTTTCAGTGAACATTTGCCCCTTCTAGTCAAATACTGACTACATATAGTTGGGAAAATATGATGCGTTTAAATCAGAACCGTCTAAAGTTTTTCATCATACAGTAAAACCTCGTTATAACAAAGTTGAAGGAGCGGTCGTAATTATTTCGTTATAACCATTAGTTTGTTATAGCCAATGTCCATTTCTTCCCACTATTAGCAAGCAAGGGGAATTATGATTGCTTTGTTATATCCATTAGTTTGTTATATCCCGTTTAACGAGGTTTTACTGTATATGCTATCAATAAGGCAGAAGAAAGAAGGTGCTTGGTGATGGGTGTTTCGAAAGGTGTGTCTAACATGTTTTGCCCATTAAATTTTTTGGGGTTATGTGGCACCGATGCATTTAAGACAATAAGAAAAAGAAAAGGAGTTCAGGGTTATTAAGGCCCTTACTCAACACAAGACATAAAACCGCACATAAAAAAGATATGATGTTACTCTCGATTTAAATGGGTGTCCCAGAGGAAGTAAACAAGAGTGTTGGTGACCTTAAGACCTTCTGTTACCAAAGTTTGAAGATTGAACTGAACGGGCTTGCAAATAGAGCTAGAACACAATGCGGAGAGCAAGTCGTCCACTTCTTGCACAGGAGTTGCGGTGACGTCAGAACGACATGGAGCTCTGATTGGCTTCGATTTAAAATATAATGGGTAGACCTCAATGCTATGTGTAGACCTAAAGATGCCTTTAGGTCTACCCACTATTTTTTCAATCGGCCAAAAAGAGCTCGGCATACTGACATCATCGCAACCCCTGTGCAAAGAGCAGACAAACTTGCGCTCCGCATAGGGTGCAATAAAGCATGGTGGCAGAATGAAACCCTAAACTTGAGAATGGGAGGGGCAAACTCAAGCCACACGGAAGGGAGAGCGCACTCACTTGGCCAGCTGACCAAGAGAGACCGGGTTCGGGTAGGCTGACTCGATCACCTCCAGCACCTTCTCCTGACTTAGCTCCGTCTTGGAGCCCACCATTGAGTCGTCCATGGACACTGCAAGGCACGGTAAACGTCAGGGGACCAGGCGCCCAGCAAAGGGAGATGCACTGACTTGCAGAGCTTCAATCGCGAATCACATCAAGTGCCAAGACCAAACTGTTAGTGTTCAAATCACGGGGTAGAACACACTAGTTCATGCTCATGTGCGGCCTGCAGTCGACATTCCCAATACGAGTCGTGCCCGGCGAGACTGCGAGGCATTTGCCTGACGAAGCTCGGCTGTAATTTTTGTAACCGTGCAACACAAGCAAAGTCAAAGTTCTGCACTGACAAACTAGCAAATGTTTCCTATAAATATGGCATTTAAAGGGCAACTCTGCTCGAAGTATGAACTGAACCAAATCACTAACGCCGTAGTAGGATATAACATGACCATAGCCAAAATATTATGTCAAGATGATGCCGGTATCTCTCTGAAGCCGGAATTAGAAATGCCGTCATCTCCTGAGCAGGTTACCAGTGCATAGGCTGTTGCTGAAACGAAGCGGGGCAATTTTTGTCATCTCTGTGCGTCCAGTATTTTCTGCTGCTTTCCAAACTCACGACTGGCACTGCTTCTTGAAAGCAATCAAGCACAATCCCTCAATTTTGCGTGCAAAAAAAAAAGGAGCAATTGCTGTGGCTCATGCAATAAGGACAATTGTTTGCACACTAGAACGAGAGTCACCAGAGCTAATTAATAATGTTACTGCTGTTCCGAAGTCCAAAACTTTCGTTTTGCCCTAAGTATATAAACCAAAGCGTGAGAGCAAATATCTAGAATATTGCGTATACGCAACACTGGGAAAAATTTATGCTCCATAATTCAGAGACACGGAATTGCACTTTAACTAGCATGATATGTCACATAATGATATTCTGTTCTTAGTCCACTTTTTAAAAGATCAGGTGACAAAGCAGCGAGTTTACTTTGCTAGGGTGCACGTTGGTCTAGTTCCAGAGTGAAACGAACACCGACTTGAAGTTATATCCATAGGCGTGCACATCGAGGGGGCCAAGCATGCTATGGACCCCCGATGACTTCAGAGGGTTCAGTATGGTTGTATTTTTGTTGTGCAACACAACAAAAATAGAACCTTACCGAATTTTCGCCCCTCCGGAGTCATCGGGGCGGGGGAGGGGGCATAATAGCATGCTTGGCCCCTCCGCAGCACATGCATATATGGTTCTATCATGACAAAGAGTCGTCGGCTCAAGAAGTTCAGTGGTACACAGTTTTTCCCCACCCATCAATGAACATTCTGCACAATGAGGCTTCAGAATTAGCTTCCACATTCCAAATACAAAGCATGAGCATAGCACAGCCACTTGAAGGAATGACCCCAGTCAAGTGTTAGGAACAAATAAACTATCTCACCAAACATTCCAGTCAAAGAGATCACACTGCAACATTAATCTGTACTTGCTTGCCCAATGTTTGAAGCAGAAAAAAGAATAAGTGATGCTTGCAGCACAGAAGGTTGAACTTTCCCTGAGGGTAAACTTTGCAAATGATGACACTGCCTAAAGCAAATTTGGAGGTAATTTCCAGTGAATTTTCAATGGGAACAAAATTTGCTGCGAGTGAAAAATGGATCTCCTTTAACAGGAACATTCTTGAAATTACTTCAAATGTTGGGATCAGGTAGTGCTAAGGTCTGTAATTACCCTATTCTGTCATATCACTTCGAATAAAGTTTCAGCTTTCTGCGATGCGAAAACCCCAGTCAACTGTCCCCCGAAACACTTCGCACATTGGGCAAGTGTTTTGGCACTCTTGTTTCGGAGTATCATTTAAAGCAGCCAAGCTTGGAGGCATGCCAATGTAGCTTTGGACTACCGTAAAATATCGCAGGAGCACCCACCCAACTTTCACTGAAAACTGGGATAACCTAGACATGGGCGCTTGTCCGGTTAAATCAGGCGCTTAACGTACGATTTGCAGAATTCTCAAGTTTGGGAAATGTTAATAGTAGGCGCTTGACCAAAGTGGGTGCTTCCGCGGTATTTTACGGTATTTCAGATCAGCCTCCCTCCCAGGTGTCTGCCCCAAGTACATCTTTCCCCAACTTGGCTCAGTTTTCTAATCATTTCAGCAATTTTCCCCATTTAGGTAATCTGGTGCAAGGAGAGCAATACCTAGAGCCACCACAAGTGACAATGATGATTTGTCGTACATGCAGGTGAACTTGAACTAACGCCACTTGTGGCCCTGAGGATATTATAAATAAATAAATAAATAAATAAACTCTGCACCATGGACTTGAAATAATTCTGACAATATTACAAATGCACCACTTCTCAAAGATTTGATCTCGCAAATACAGTGGAATCTCGTTAATTTGAACCTAAAGGGGACCGGAACGTTGCTTGAATAATGCAAAGTTTGAATCACCTGGAGTTTTCTTACTAGAAACTCATAGGACGGGACCTGCATGTTAGTTTGAATTAAGAGGGTTTGAATTAACAAGGTTCCACTCCACAGCAAAGCCTTCAGTCTATTTATATGCTCTATCGTCGTAAGCTGTCGCAAGCTAGCACGGTGCACTCGACCGCACTCAAATACCACTGTGTGAGCCAGCCTCTAGTAGTTCCAACAACTAGTGCCGCCAATAAGTGTCAAGGAGAAAGAGCAATGAAGTGGGATATTTTTACAAGTCCGAGTGACTGCTTAAATTCCTCGTCGGCTCCCCTACCTATCCGGGCTCTTCCCTAACGCTGCTGCGCATCCAAAAAGGTGGATGGATGGATGCATTGGGCTCAACCCTTTAAATCGGGTGACAAAACTTGCACCACCTAGCCAGAGTTTTTATTATTAACAGTAGGATATAACATCCACCTCCACCTATTCCCAGCTACTCTGCCTAGCAGACACCTTGCTTCCCAGGGGGTTAGTGCCACTCTAGAGCAGACGGGCCATTCGAGGGATGCCGAGAGGAGACCTGTGTCGTCAAACACGAGCGCTGGGTCTGCCCGGAAGACGCCAGTTCCTTTGAGCGCAGGAGCGAAGCCAGGGGGAAGAGCGCGCCGCTTTCCCAGAGTCAGAGACAGACAGTCGGCTGCAAACCACACCGCTTGTTCTGACACCACCAGAAAAAGTGCCCGAAAATGGTCCTTTTCAGCAACAAATGTTTGAGCAATCTTCAGCAACGAGTCGGTAAGACACAACAAAAACATTGGTGCTCTCAGCCACGGGTTCGCAACCCCCAGGTGCAGCAAGCTAAAAGGGGGAGGGCTGGTAATAGCTCACTTTGTCAAAACGAATTAGAGTAATTGGGCCTACAGAGCACCCTCTAGAAGCTGGCAGCAGCGCTGTAACTGCACTAGGCAATTGCGATCTGAACTTGCCCCATCATTTTCGACAGCACACTTGTCTGCACCACGAGAGTGCAGGTTGGTGCCGCCGTATACTTGCACATAATACTCCACTATGCAGGGTAGGCTGAATCGTAAAACTGCTCTCTCTCTCGCAGCCATCACACTTTCCCATTGTAGCCTAGCAAAACACAAAGTGAATTCGACCCTTGAAAATAGTTTCACCTGGTTCCCAGCAACCTTGGACTAGGCGATTTTCATGAGAAGACACTTTTCTTGTAAGATAAATGTATGATTTAATGGACATCTTACTCGAAGCAGGGTTTTCTATAGAGAACTAGCCACATTTGAGCATCAGACAGCAACACCCACCACCAACCAACCCCAAGCACATTCGGCAAGCACACAAAGGTATCAATTTGGCAGGAATCCCTGGTGCTCACCACACAAGTGTAACAGATTTGCAAGACGGCACCTTTGCATGCATGCTGCGCATGCTCGAAGATGGTCGTTGTCAGTCGTTGCTGCCTGTCGCTCAAGTGAGGAAATAGAGGCTTTGACAGCTGTGCAGCATAAAATGACTGTCAGTTAAATGCTTTCTTCATTCAGGCAAGTTTTTAAGTGGTCAGCCACTAAACCAGTTAAAACCTTGTCTGGTACATTCGGGAGAACTCCTGAAGTCAGTCATATTCTAACCACAACAGCTGCATTTAGCCCTAAGGCTGTTGCTACAGATCAAATATAAGTTCACAGATTTTTTTTTTTTTTTAACATTTGCAGAATGATTACTGTCTTGCCTTTGCCAGGAATGACTTCCAACAGTTCCCAGTACACAAGCTCTCCATGAATGCTTTCATAGCCTCTCTGAATGCACTTGGGCCGACTGGAGTCGTGCTTCTTTTTCTTGTTTTTATTCCTCCGAGGTATGCCCTGTTGGGCAACTACACGAGGTACGCAGGTGCTCTCGGGTTCTGCAGTGGGCTCCACTGTCAAATTTCTGGGGAAGGCATCGGGCGGAGGCGGGCTGCACTTTTTCGGCATTGCCGGAACGGACTCCCGACCTAAGCGCTCATCGAGTTCTTCACCTGCAAGAACTGTGCAGATTAAATCGATGCACCCATGCCATCAATCAAACTAGGGACTAACCCCTACACCGAAAGGCGAGAGAAAAAAAGGAAACCAGAGAAATCACCCGACGGGCAGACGTGCAGTCGGTGTGTCTATGGCGTGCGCCCAAGGGCGGCATTTCGAAGGGACCGCATCAATGGGTTTCTCAACGCACCATACTACGACTTGGTATGGAAATGCCATAGGCACTTTAATTATCGAGATTTCAAAGAATGAACTTACCCAAGTAGTAATAATAAGTAAAAAAAGAAAAAGGCTCGTCCAACTGCTAACGACACATGTCTGGTTGGAGCAACAGCCGACAAATGGCGGCAGCAGTCCACAAAGGACTGCTGCCGCCATCTGCGTGCCTGGAATAACATGGAAAACCACCTTGTTTTACTGAAATAAGAGCAGTGGCGCAAACTAGCTGGTGAACATTCATACTTAAAAAACCTAGAGACGGGAGAATGAAGGGACAAACACAACAAAGTCTCAAAAGGAGACTTCCTTGTGTTTGTCCCTTCCTTCTCCTCTGTTTCGGGGTTTTTTAAGTATGAGCACCTCATTTGTTGGTTTTGTGTTCATTCAATGTTTTATAAGTAAAAATGGCAAACTTACGCACTGACAACGCACATTGAGAAAGTGTGTACTGTTTTTCTTTAATAAAAAGGATTGTTTCGCTGAGCCAGGGCCTTTGAGAGGGGATTGCTGCAGCCATGTGTCGGCAGTTGAGCCTATTAGACAAGCCTTGTTTTCAGACGGATGCTAGACAGACGAATATGAGAAAAATGCTTGCTTATTTTCTTACCTCTGCTCCAGTTAGCTCATTCTTTGAAATTTCGACACAAAATGCATCATCTATGGGAACCTCCGCAGCAAATTGTAGTGTTATGCATTAAGAAACCGGTTTCATTTGACCATCCCGCAATGCCCTCGTGCACTCTTCCCATGCTTGTCCGAGCCAACCAAAAAACCTGGAACAAGAGTGGGGTTCACGGCGCACTCACTGGGACGAGTGGGCGGCTCTGAGATGTTCTCCAGCTGCTTCATGTCAATCTCCACCTTGCGCATGTTGGGGTACTTCACCTGCATCAGCTTCATTATCTTCTTGATGAAGCCCACATAATCTGTTGGGTAAGTCAAATGCAAAAACAGAGATATAAGATTACCCACATCCAGCACTTAGATAATCATGTCATGCATGCAAAACGGGTGATTATATGACCTTCAAAAACCAATCATTGTTCATAAGGACACCACTACTGAAGATGCATTACTTCCAATTTCCAGAGAATAAAATTACAGATTCCATTTTGACAGTCTAAAGTAAGGCTGTCTTATAAGAGGGGCTCGCAAGGAAGGTCTGTGCTGAAACATTCGGAAGGAAAGTTGAACAACTCTGCACTTGAGGCTCGGTTCTAAATATGTATGTTTCCTACCATAGGTGTGCATGCCTTGTACTTTCAATACTTTGTGTAGAAGTAAACTAAAAAGCATCAGCAAAGGCGGGAATTTCGTCCTGACACTTGTCTAGAGTCTAAGAGCTCGAGCCTATATTTACCGTATAGTTTTCACCATGCAAGTTCTCTCAAAATAAAAAGTATAGGCTAAACAAAATGTTACAAGGAACTAAAGCAGGTCACAACGTTTTGTTCGGTAATTTGGAAGTTTGTCGCAATGCACTTTCTTAAAGAAAGCATTAAAGTGAAATACCAAGCAAGTGCCCAGCCAAACTTGGGAGATAATCTTTGAAACACTTGTTAGGTCCAAGAGCAAAAACGTAGAAAGGGCACTAATGTGGTGGGCTTCACAGCTTTACACTGGGGAGCTTGGAGAGGCAGCCAACAAGGATGAGCACATCAGTTAGACTCAGCAGCCTGGGATGGGCATTCGATACGTCCTTTGATAGTTTTCAAACATTTTAAAAGTAGCAGGTGGGCATTCATTGCAACCAGGCCGTATGCAGAATATTTTAATGGTATGTCCACATTTCTAAACAGCTTTCCTTTGGAAGTCGTCAACTGCATCAGTACTTGCGTTTAGTCCCAATGAAGTTTGCAAGTGCCTGGCGTCGGCAGAGACATTAAAAGAGAAGCTGAGCCTAGAAAGAAATTTCTAAGACAACAGGTGAGCGAGACCGTAACATTGCGCAACCATGGACCATTGCAGAATGCCACATTTGAGTGGCACAAGCCCAGGACTCTTTCCTCTCTTTCTTAGAAGAGAGATGTAGTTCCAATTATTGTCTCTTCTGCTGTGTGCTACTACATGGCATTCATTTTACTGTTTTATGTGCAATAAGAAAAGTCACACGAAGGCAGACATGTTGAGTAGCCCTTCTATTACTCTTCCGTAGGGGACGGCCGAATACAGTTTGCGCAGCCCGCGAAACAGTTCCAGGAGAGGTGATGCTTGCGCAATGTGTGGCCAATGTGTCTAAACATTCTGTATTTTGCGAGCTTCAAAATTCCTCCTACTACGTCAAAATTGTAATTAATTTTTGAGAAAAGCATGGGAAGGGAGACGTGGTGACAAGAATCCCAATAACAATGATCAAGTTGATGTGCACTGCACGCATGTCAGTTTTATCATCACTGTTGCTTGCAGCTTCCATTTCTCCAACAATTCCATGTTACCACGTCGGGCAGCCCTTGTCACGGCTGGCAGAGTGCCGGAAACCCAGCACTGCTACGGCGCATTGCATACTGTGGTAAGTAAGAGCTCTAGGGCTGGAATGCAGCACTAAGCAAATGTCTTATGCATTTAATTGATTTAATAATATAAAATATTCATCAAAATTTGCAGTAATTCAATCTTCCCATTGATAATATGGGCCCTGGAACAAATGTTTGGTACTTTGAATATTCGTAGTAATGAGAACCGTTGTAATAATTTGATATTATTTTTCATACTAAGAAAACAGATCATTGTGCTATCATTATTGTTTCAATTATTATAAGACTGCACTATAGCATAAAACAACCACAACCTTTAAAATATTCTCCTGCCAATCAAAAGGATTGCCATTCGTGCAATAGTGGCATTAGTGAGCTCGCTCGTCCCATTGAAGTGATTTCATAAAGATTTTGTGATTTGCTTTGGCCTCCTCTGTAAATCGGATCGTCCAAACTTAGAGACATTAAAAGAGCGCCGTCAAACGAGGAGAAGGGCTTCTCCTCATCCGATGGTGCTTTATGGTGCCTGCTATAGTTCCGAAGTAATCAATCTTCAATACCGATTTTAATGAAAAAATTGGTCACAGATGAATGTAATGTTTGGTTTTTTAGGATGTTTAGAACCTGTAGATTGAGTTATGACCATAAATGGACTATCGCAGAAAGTGGGTTCGTGCCCCCTTTAATAACTTTGTAGAATTTAAGCTGTTCTTGACTAATCTCTAATCTACCTGTTGTGCATTAATATTAAGACATTGGCTATTCATGACCGTGTAAAGAAACAAGTGAATGAATAAATATAAAATAAAAGCCATTTACAACTCCCTGTAACGCCGAATTAGAGCGCAGCTCTTGAGGAGGAGGAGGAGGGGAGGGTACTGAGGGGGGTCATGTGACCTCGGGGGGGGGGGGGGGGGGGGGGGGGGGGGAAGGGGGGGGGGGTTACATGACCTAGGGGGTTGCATGCAACTTGGTCTAAATGCAACATGGGTTGCAATCAATGCGTAATTACGCTGACGCCGGCGGGTTGCGTGCAATCTGAGTTGCATGCAATGCATGGTTACGCCGATGCCGCTCAAGCCGGATACGGGCGCCTAAGAGCTGCGCTCTAAAAGTGGAAGATACGCCACACGGAGCCTCTTCTTGTGCGCCTGGAAGAAACCGGCAAGGCAGCATGAATCAACGAAAGAGGGAAAGTGGATGCACCTCGGGGAAAGTCGCCGGGGCTGACCAGGTCCTTGAAGAAGTCCTGGGCAGCGTGACGCCGGTCATTCTCAGCCACATGGGGCTTGAACCAGAACTTGAGTTCTCGGCTTTCCTGAAGCAAGAGCACGCACATTATTATTGGAAGTGCACATGTTTGTTAAAACCGGTAAAAATTAATTAAGACTTCTTGCTTTTTACTAATCACAAGTTTTATCCACTACGGACCAGAAGACCAGAAAGCCCGACCGCGAGTCTGGCTCGTGTTTGTTGTTTGTTTCGAATTTTCACCAAGACAGGGCCCCGTTTCAGGCAAAAGACACCCACAAAAAAGGATTTGACGTCTGCAAGCGTGGGAAAAGGTGATCTGGTCTAAATGCAAAGGTCCCCTTTATCTGACAAAGAAGCACAAATACACTTATTTGAAAGGAATTAGTTCTCCACCATTTCCGGTAATGAGTCGTACCATCTCTCTCATGACTCAAAAACTAATATAAAGTCAAAAACTTACATAATAAAAGAAAAAAAATTCTTGACTTTCAAAAGTTGTATGTTGCTATCCATAGGCATAGACTACGGGGGAGCATCAGGGCTCATGCCCCTCCTGGTGAGATCCGGGGGGGGGGGGGGGGAGTCCCCCTTGGGCCTGCGCCATGATCCTTACCAAGACGCTGTTTACGTGCCATGTAACGAGTTTCTAGTACTGGCATGTAAACAAAATATTGCCCATGTTGCCTTTATTGACAAAATACATGAAAAATGGAATCCCAGCGTGCTTCTAGGGGGGAGGGGGTGTTTTCCGCGCAAGCGGAAAAGCACCCCCCTCCTTCCCCCCGGAGAGGTTCTCAGCCTGCCACCCCCCCCCCCCCCCCCCCCCCCCCCAGGGGAAAACGGAAAGTTTACACCACTGTTGCTCTCCACCTTTCTCAACATTTCTAAAAGACAGTGAAGAACCACTGAACAGACACATCAAATGGCAGGATTTAATAGCGAGAGCAACAAACAACGTCTGGAGGTCAAGTGATTGTTACCTTTAAATTTCTTGCGAATTGCCGATTTTAAGTGAAGTTTCTGTATAGCTTATGAAAAACAAAAACATGACATTGAACTAAACAAAAACTTTTCTAAAGGGGCTAAATAGAACCGTTATCTCACAAAAGAAATACCCCCCCCCCCCCCCAAAAAAAAAATATATATATATATATATGTATATGTATCGTAAAATTCCGTAAGGACGCCCTTCCCCGGAGAGATCGCCCATCCCGTTTTTCTGGCTAAATATCTTCAAAGCAAAAATTCCGGAACGCCTGCCTCCCACCCACCCTCCCCTCCTCCTCCTCCTCCTCCTCCCCCCCCCCCTCCTCCTCCCCCCCTTCCCGTCGGACGGCTCGCAATGTCCGACGGAAATAGCATCAACCGCGCGATCTGCGGTACCGCGGTACATCTGACAAGCGAGTTCAGCGAATTCTCGCGTTTTTGTCCGCGATCTGGGCGCGCGATCGTGAAATGCGATGCAGCTGCGCCCGCCATCTGCGGTATTTGCTGCCATGACATGCGAGTTTGTAGCGAGTTCCCGCGTGTTTATTGCAGCATAAAACTTGAATCTGCTGCGTCAGCGATCTGCGGTATGCGGTCCCTTGAGATGCGAGTACTCGGCGGGTTTCCGCGGGTCCTTCGCAACGTGAAACGCCAATCTGCCGCATCCGCAACCCGCGGTATCCTTTCTTCTCGTGGCGCAGGAGTTCGTAGCGAATTCCCGCGTGTTTATCGCATGGCGAATCTGCGGTATCAGTTCCTGCGTCACGTGGTTTGTAGTATCATTTTTTTTTTTATATAAAGTTTTGCTGAGGAGTTCCCACAGTTAGCCCAAGCCATGTTTTTCACTTTTATCTCTTCATTTTGGGTGGGCCTTTTTACGGAATTGTACGGTACGTATTTTCTGTGTGCAATATTTAGGTTACGTGACTTCTTTTTGTGTGTACTGTGACATGTTATCCATGATATTAACACACACAACTGATTGCACATATTAGCCGACTGCAAATGTTTACACGCATATATAGATCACCTTCCTGGCAGAGTAAGTCAAGGAATCGGAAATAAACGAGACATTTTATTATTTTTCCTTCCTACCTGCATAACTTTATTGTATTTTTAGTCACAATGATGGAAAGCTGCCATGGATATAGCAAAAACAAACTGTGTCAACGCTGCAAATAAGGCTTATTTTGTTACTGGATTAACAATCACTGATGCGCTTTATTATTTCATTAAACTGTAGGATATTCGTTTAAAACGACTCTTTTAACTTAAAACAGTATTAAGGTGGCAGGCCCAGGTGCACACGTCCTTCCTCACTGACAAGAATTCCTCAAATTACATCTAAGGCAGAAAGGATACAGCCAATTAATTTGTTCAACTAAAATTAGGGACAAGAGAAAAAGGTTGAGGCTCCAATCCACGTTGTGAAGGTGGTTGGTCAGCGAAGCTGCGGTATCACCCGCGACGATTGCCTACTCTACTACAGACCCTTTTTATGGCAAACGCCACCGGGTGGTGCTCCAGTCTTTGACGTCCCAACTTCCGGTTTATAAAAAGAACGAACAAAGTCCTCTTTTAACAGCGCTGCTTGAAATGTAGACGAAACGTTTAACCTCCAATTCACCAGGTGAACGCCAAAAGAGCGAAGGAGTGCGAGATCTGTTAAAATATTTCGAGTATTCTCGTAATTAAACTAACTTGCCTCCTCCGAGATGTAGTATTGTAAAGCCGAAGGCCCTCGTTAAATCTTCCACATTGTTGCCCGCGTAGAATTTATGCTTTCTAGCACTGGTGACATAAGCAAGCTCGACAGGCTTGCAAAGACGGTGTGACCAGAAGTCGCTTGGGACGCAAGCGGCAGTTCATGTTTGTGAACAGCAAAAGGGTCTGTACCAAATGATTGACGAAAGAAAAGTAAATGCACTGTACCAAAACCTTTTTTTTTTATATGTGAAAGACCTCGTAAGCGGCCGTTGCCGCGGCAGATTATGCAACCCCAATCTTTACCGAGAAACGCATGCGGGGAGCGCTACGTGCTTATAATCTATCACAGGGGTGGCCATGCTGGCCTGGCCTAAGAGCCTCAAACAAAACCACGGAACTTCTAAGAGCCGCGGGGGGGGGGGGGGGGGGGGGGGGGGGGCTTACTTTTGTTCAGAGTCTGACGGTACGTATAGGGGCACGAGGCTGTACGAATGTACTACGTATGGGAGTACAAGGCTGTCAAACTGCAAGCTGCAGTATGCTTTCTTCTGAAGTCCTTTTTTTTTTCCTGGGGAAACGCGGAAAGGGGCGAAAAGGGGGGGGGGGGGGGGGTCCCCTTACGAGGGATCCGCGAGCCGCACTTGGAACAGCAAAGAGCCGCGGTTTGGCCACCCCTGATCTATCACGTGGTTTTGATACTTGTTTTGTGGTTTTTATTGAAACAAGTGTCAAAACCACATCATAAGACATAAGGCGCGCGCGAATGGTGATAAAGCGCGCGCGTCGGTTTCCTGTCGACTACTGTTATGTCGACAGACACGAAAAAACCCGACCCGATGAGGTGGTTAACAGCCAAAACAAATTCCCTGCTCTATAAAATAATGTACTCTGTTTCTGTAGAAGTTCATCCCTGCCAAAAGCAAACTGCATACGATCGCAAAAATACGCGATCCAATACGTCAGCGTATGGAGGCCCTGGCCAGCGGCTTCTTCGCAGTGCAGGGCGGTTCATGGGGAGAAGCACCCTTCTCAGGCAGGTTGTGGGCGATAATAATAATAATAATAATAATAATAATAATAATAATAATAAAGTTTATTTCCCATTCGATACAGGAATGGAGGAAACAGAGGGAAAAAGCTGTTTAACAGCTTGACGAAGCCCCCTGCTCCCTTAGAGTTCCACATGACAGATTAGAAATACAAAGCAACAGCAAAAATATCAACATTGTATACAAAATAGATTATAACCTATCGCAGAAAAGTAATATATTCAATTCAAATAAGAAAATAAATCTTGCATTGTGACAGAAATTATATCAACGTTTTTGTTTAAGAGGAAATTTAGTAAAGTAGGTAGCATATACTTTAGAGACTGCATGGAATAGTTGTTATGGCAAAGAGGCACAGCCCAACGTGCCGCCGAACGAGTTGGATAGGAGGTAACATGTTCCCTTAGTTTAGAAAGTTCGGCCAAAATATCCACGTTTCTTTTTTTTTTTTCTATTTTAAAACGGACCATAAGTTTATATGTATACATATCGAAAACACGCAACAAATTATATTTTTCAAACAAGCCCTTGGAGCTTGAAATATAAGAAACATTAGCAATGAGGCGAACAAATTTTTTTTTTTTTTGTAATAGATGTATTTTTTGTAGATTTGAACTGGTGGTTGTACCCCATACCAGGTGGCAGTAGTTTAAGTGGGATGCAAATAGAGTTTGATAAATAAGTAGTTTAACGTTGTTTGGTAAAATAAAACGGTTTCGTGAGACTAATCCGATGACCCTGGACAATCGAGGAAGTATATAGCTTACATGGTCGTCCCAAGACAAATACTGGTTAAAAATAACGCCAAGACTTTTGAAATTTTCCACTATCTCTATAACCTTTGAATTTATTACGAGACGTTTCGTTATAAAAACGCTTTTATTTTTGGTTCGAAATAAAATTGCTTTGGTTTTACTACTATTAATTTCAAGCCCGTTGTCGGATGTCCAATTTTGCAAACCTGTTAAAGTATCATTTGCGCAGTCGATAAGTTCATCACTAGTCTTAGCCGAAAATAAAAGGGTTGTATCGTCTGCATATATAACAAATTTAGCAAGAGAATGTATGTTAACAATATCATTAATATAAATGTTAAATAGCAAAGGTCCCAAGATACTCCCCTGTGGTACACCGGAACAAACAGACTTTGTATTAGATGAAAACCCATTTAAATAGACAAACTGCTTACGATTACTCAAATATGACTGAAGCAACGTAAGTGCTTGGCCCCGAATTCCATAAAGATAAAGTTTTTTTAGCAATAAATTATGGTTTAGATAATCAAATGCTTTTGTAAAATCAATAAATACGGCTAAAGCTATCTGGTTTGCCTCAAAACTCTCTAAAATAAATTCTTTTTGTTCTAGTAATGCTAGATCTGTCGAACGATGCTTCATGAACCCAAATTGATCATTAGTAATTACGCGATACTTATTAAAAAAATTTGACAGACGAATGTGAATAAGTTTTTCTAAGCCCTTAGAAAAAACCGGTAAGATAGAGATAGGTCTATAATTATTTATGTCGTTCTTGTCTCCCTTTTTATAAAGCACAGACACTCTAGCTTTTTGCATAAGCTGTGGAAACACCCCAGTTGAAAAACATAAATTAAAAATGTAAGTAAGGAAGGGAGTGATCAGTGGTAAGACATATTTTACCGGCCGAATCTGCATACCATCGGCATCACAGCTATGGCTATTTTTTAATTCCATAAAGACAGTAGACACCTCTGTATCAGTAACTGGCAATAGAAAAATAGAATCCCTAGTTTTAAAGGTTATATTATCACATGCAGCATCTCTACAGTTAATTTGAGGCAAATCAACAAACCTGTCATTAAATGTGTTTGCCAACGACGCGCCAGTTAATTTCTTCCCTGCAGAAATAATGCATTCTACAGAATGGGACGTTTTGCCTTCTATAACTGAATTTAAGTTCTTCCACATAAGGTCAGAACGGCCTACAGAGTTTCTAAAGGAATCATGGTGATAGCGCTCCCTTGCTTTTCTCAGGGCGTTTGTCAGTTGATTACGGTACGATTTAAAAGTCCGAAGGTCATTGGGATCTCTAGTTTTTGTGAACTTTCTGTATAGCACATTTTTAACCTTTATGTTTTCAAGTAGATCTACAGTTATCCATGGTTTCCGAATGCGTTTCTTCACTTTAATTAGTTTGTAGGGAAAATTGCTCTGATAAGACTTTTAAAACGCTCAAGAAAAAAATTGTACGCCTCATCGGGATCGTTCTTTGAAAAGATATCATCCCAATTTGCATTTGCCACACATTCCGCGAACCTCTCCAAACCATCCGGCGTAACACACTGGACTTGCGCAGAAGGTGTTGAATCTTTCTTTTTTGCGTTATTCATTTTGACACACAAAAAAATAGGAAGATGATCACTGTGGTCATAAGTAATTATGCCAGGTCTTATACGACTTTCCTCGTAATTTGTTATAAATAAATCAATCAAGGTTTTTGAGGTAACATTAACACTGGTCGGAGAGTTTATTACAGTACGACAACCATTTATAAGTATTAAATTTTCCAATTCCCTCTTTGAAACAGTATTACTTAACATATTCACATTGAAATCGCCGCCGCATATAATGTTCAGCTTGTTTTCATTTGCGAAATCAAAAAGGGAGCTCAGAAAATTCAAGAAAGGGGACAAAGGGGATCCAGGGGGGCGGTAAATGACCGAAACAAGGTCGTTTTTTGTTCGCAATGATAAAGCTTCGTAATCTTTAGTGATAACGGTAAACGAAGGCACTAACTCGCAATCAACGCTTTCTTTAATCAAAATTGACACGCCGCCCCCTCGGGTTTCGCTGCGATTGATAAAAAAACATTGATACAAAGGCAATCTGAAAACATCGGTATGTTCCGTGTACCACGTTTCAGAAAGCATAATAATCTCGAAATCGGAAAGCTCAGCCAAAAAAACACTCAAAATCAACACGTTTATTTTTCGCTGATCGAATATTAATATGTAAACAGTGAGTTGATAAGGAAAACTCTTCTCCGATAAAAGCTTCAAACTCAGAAGGCAATACATATTCTGAGACTGCCATTTCAAAAGAAAGTATAAACAGGAAAAAAATGCAGAGAAAGGGTGCACACACCAGTTGCTTAGCTCATGTTTGGCAAATCGTATTCACTCTTTACTGTTTTGGCAGGGTCACCGGTTTTCCTCCTGACAAAGATGTTACCATTTCGGTGCCAAACATACTGAAAATTGTGCTCTCTTGCCCATTGTTTCGTAGACCACAAGGGCGCCTTATCTTGACGAGTCATATTTTCCAGAACATACTCGTTATCATTGGGGCGTTTAAGGTTGCGTCTTTTGTCCAGCCAGCGATCGCGAGTCTGTTGTTGCGTGAAGTGCAGAATTATACCAGGGATCTTTTCCGGTTTAGAAGGGAGCCTGTGCATTGAAACAATTTCGCATGGGACGAGAGTCGGAACATCTAACTTAGCAGCTACCTCATTAACCAGGGACAGCAAGTTTTCATTTGCGGTTTGTGGGACCCCGTGGATTTCTAGGTTTTGTTTTCTATTGTGCCATTCCAGTCGATTCAGTTCCCGTTTCAACTCTGTAAGTTGTCCTTCCGTCCCGGCGTTCTCGATTTTTCCCACACGTTTTGTTAAACTTTTTATGTCTTTGTCATGCTGGCCAACACTCTTCAGTAATTCATCATACTGGTCTGACATGTTTTGAACAGAAGTTTCAATGGCGGATACGGTTTCCTTCATACTCAACAAACTGTTCAGTTTCAGGTTCATGCTTGTAAGCAAGCTGTTCACATCGATTTCGGCATCTTTCTTAGCCTTCCCGGTTTGACTTCTTTTCGCGACACTACAGGTCTCGCACCGCCAGGCTTTCTGAGACTTCGCATTTCTCGCTTTAAAGGTTGATTCCGCGATGCCACAGCAAGTTCCAAAGTGATATGTGAATTGACATTCTGGACACGTTATATTAGGTTTGTCATCTGATAACACTTCATGGCACTTTGGACAAACATCGTCATCTTCTTCACTCATCGTGACGTGAACGCAATATACAGGAAAAGGGCAAAGGCAGCAGCGGCAGCAGCAGCACGGGAGTTATTAGAAAGGCTTTCAATAACAAGGGCAATGTTTCTGACATTTCAGGAAGAAAGCGAGAAAAGTATATACTGCACTTAAAAGTGGAGGTACGACACCCATTTATACCTAGTCATTATTTTTCCTGTCATGGAGCTGCAATTTGCTCAATTAAATTTCACTTTATCTTGATTATTTCGCATTGATCTGACCACTCTCTCTTTGTTTTCATTTATATATATGAAGGGTATTTGAAATAACCAGGCTCGATCTAAAATGGATTGTAAAATCGGCCCCTTCACGTAGCAGTCTAAATTTTTCGTCAAAGGTGTATTTCACGGGTCGTTTTTTTCTTGTAAAAATACAAAGCGTAGCACTCTATCTGTAAAAGAAAGGGGACAAAAAAACTTGGCATGGTCAACGGCGGACGGCGACGCAGACACCGAGTCCAGTGGCGGGGCGCGTTTGGCGCAAATATCGATAGATGGCGCTACGTCCCTATCGAGACTACTCGCGACGACCGTGGTCTATTAAATTAAACATACTATTTTTGTAATGTACCTTTGGCTTAAAAATAAATGCAGACAATAAAAGCAAAACTTGGAAGTAAAAAAAAAAACGCGGTTGCATAAGGACCGCGCTTTTGATGCCGACGGATTTCGTCTGCGTGTCGTCTGCTTTCGCTGGTCGGCTACACCTTCCGACGCTGCTCTCGGCGTCGGTAATGAAAACATTATTCCTTCCTAATGCTCTTAGTGCTTGTCCTAGGCTCACTGGCAGGCTGAACGAACGTGTTGCCAAAATATGCCAACCGGGATTTTCTGAGACCTTTTAGAAGTGGCCACGTCAATTGTTAATTTCAACTTGTCTGGATCACAAACATAATCCATAAAATTGAGTCGAGTACGGGCCAGGGCTTGAAACAGTTCTCCACCGGGGGCAAGTTAAAAGAAAAACTAATGTAGCGGGCAAGGTTTATTCTGTGCGTTCTCGAGCTGGTGAATGTGACGCAAAAAACAAGACGTGCACTTACCCGCGTGTGAGTGTCGGTCACCACGTTGGTGAGAAACACCCGGAACTCCAAGGACAGCTGCGGGAGGCAGTCTTCCTTGTCGTCTGCAACGGTGAATGAGGGTTGCCGAGAAGAAAGCGCGGTCAAAAATAAGAGATGCGAGTAGTGCGATCGTGTGCGGCAGTTTGCTCTTTGAAACATTGTGCTTGATCTACATAGTTAGAACCCCGATCTTCTGACGAAAAGCGCCGATTGAATTAAAACAATGCGGCTGCAGTGGCTACTAGCCAGTGGTCAAACCCCGCATGCACACTGTGTGACATTGTTGGCACAAACAGAACATCGGGGCTTTTCTGCATTTCACGGGCGCCAAACGGTACCACCTAGGTTATGGCCCCGAATAAGGTCTCTTCACTACCCTAGTAGTAATTTTTTCTGGCAGATGTTTAATTTTAAAAGTAGTACAACAAAAAATTGGAGATCGCCTGTTTGCGCTAAAATTGTTCCGCTGTGTACTACACTCCGTTTCACCTTATGTTGTACCGCAGCGAAGGCTAGAAGCGCGAGCTCATAGCGTTGGCAGCTGCCCTTGGTACACGACAGCATGTGCCGCCGAGGTGTGCCATAGAGCAAGGACTCGCGCTTGTAGCCTTTCCAGCGGTGCAACACAAGGTGAAACAGAGTATATGCACGCACATACAACGTGGCACAATCGTGTATGCGTGCAGGAGGAGGTGTCATTGTATTAACACTTACGCAACTCGGTTTGTGAGAATTTTTGTTTCGCAGGGATCTGAGCGATGTGATTGGTCCGAGTCATTTTGAAGCAGCTTATGGAGCAGCCGAAAGTCCACTTTGGAGCAGAACATTTAAAGCATAAGCAAACCCTTCATTTTCATTCATACCACTGCAAACATTATGCTAAGATTCATGTGTCCAGCTAAAAGATAATGCTACTTCGACTTGACACTTCTGTACAACATTTTGATAGCATCAACGGCCTGGCGCGTTTCATTCCCTCAAGCAAATAACTACCTGTTTATCCGAGCGTAGAGGCATCATACACAATAACAATTGATGCTGGGTGATGAAGGACAGTATAAAGTGCCGTGAATGATTGTTCTAGATAACAAATCAAAAGTAAACCAAACAGTATATTCCACTGAAATAATGTTAAAATGGAATCATTTCGAGTACCAAATCAATGTTTCGTTCAAGTTCTAAAAAGCTGTAATACAAATGCAAGTCTTAATCTAGATTAATTTTCTTTTTCATTTGATTAGAACATTAACTATATTTGTTACTAGCCAGTGGTCAAAACGCCACATGTACACTCTGCGACAATGTTAGCACAAATATAACAACAGTGCTTTTCTGCATTTTACGGGCGCCAAACGGTACCGTCTAGGTTATTATGGCCCTGAATAAGGACTCTCCACTACACTAGTAGTAGTTTTTCTGGCAGAATAGAGTGCCAGAAGAAGTTAATCAGGTCTTACAGACAAGGCGCAAGCAGGAGGATTGAGAAACTACGCAAAGCTTGCGCGAGGAACTATGCAAGGCTTGTGGCGGACTTTGGACTATCCTCTGCAGAGCAGACAATACAAGCATCATGAAGGACTTTCAACGTTGGGACGCTGGAAATAGGATGCTTTTTGACCGTCCGTGGTATGTGAAGCGACGATGTGTATTAGATAGCATTAAGAAGGTTGTTGGTAGGGAACGCGGCAGTAGGAAACTTTCGGACCAAGCAAGCTCTTGGAATGTGGCTTTAAATTCGCTTCTGAACCCTTGCAAAGTTGTAATCTCGAGTAAGACAAAAGAGACATTCAACAAGGGGCTCAAGTTCTGTTTGAATATGAAACCCTCAAGGTTTGACGTTTTTTCTTAATTTCAAGCCATTTCCGAAGTAGTAGATCTTGATAGAGGGGATGCTTTTGCGGATTTTGCAGTAGACAGAATGGAGAAATGAACGAATAGTACATATAGAACAGAGCGAATCGATTTTCGCGTTGTAAATGGAGTCAAAAAAGAATTGCAAGAGAATACGCTTGAATTATTAGAGGGATAATGCAATTAATGCAAAGGTGCAAGGAGCTGGACGAGAATGACGATAAAAAATCTTTGGAGAAGGGGAGCAAGGGGAACAAAGGACAAATCGGCAAAGTTTGCAATCCTTCCGGCAGTGATTTATTTAGAGAAAGACGGTAGAAACTCTAGACTCCCTATTTGTTAAATTGGAGGGTAACGTTGGTAAAATAAAAAGAGGAATTGTAACAATTCTTAAGGAAAAGGACGTGAGTTCCCTTTCGAAGTAGGTGGCAAGCCAAAATGGTTTGGCGTTAGGCCTCAAATTCTTCCTGAAAGATCAGAAGCCGAAGATGCCTCTCCACACAGTAATTCACAAAAAGGGAACCTGGCAGCGCATAGTGTCTCAGATCCAACAACGTGGGTTAAGTGTAATGCATATCTGAAAAAGTCTAACGCTCAGAAATTCAGAAGAGCTGATCAAGGATCCATAGGATATTTTCACGGAAAACAGCATTCGGTTACGTCAATGAACATAAAATATATTTACTACTCGTTGGAGAAGGGAATTCGCTTGATGCAAAGAATTAGACATGCATTAGAGTTCGATTTGGTTAACTTTCTATCTCAGACGGGCTTAGCAGTGAACACTTTCCTTTCTATTTTAGACCTATACCTCCAAGCAAGAGTAGTAGAATACAGCGGCCGGAAATGCATACAAAAGGATGGAGTTTGTATAGGATCGTCCATGGCTGCAACACTGGCAGAAACGTATCTTAACGCATTCGACAGCCTAGACAAAAGCGCCTCCAATGGTTGCTTAGTAAGACGGTGCGTAAATGACATTTGTGTTCGTTCATTTCGGGATAGTGAAACACAGGCATTGGAAAAATTGGTGAGAACAGCGGCTTTAGAACTAAGGTTCACCGTAAAACGGCCGGAGGGTGGGATCTTAGAGTTTCTAGATTTACACGTGCAAGTCGAAGGAGTTCTTTGTTTGGAATGCAGGAGAGAAAGTGCTAACCCTTAACGAACAAAACCTGAGAGCTCAAGTGAGCTAATGTAAGTTCATAATGGTTGTAGCACAATTCCCCCGGTGGCAATTCCTCCGTCCCAAATGCCCCCTGCCATTTCCCCCGAGTGTCAAAATCTCCGTCTCCCCCGAATGCCAACATCGCAGTGTTCGTTTTCCTCTCTTGTAACTATCGTGGTCACCCCTGCTATGTAGTGAGAACCACTGCTTTGCGAGTCAGTGTCCAGCATTAATGGCACATCTCTAGAAAGATTTCATTTTTAAGCGTCTATGTTTGGTCAAACGTGCATTGATACAACGCTTGGTCTGACCCAGACTTGTACGTAATCCGTTACAAGTAACGAAATTACTTGTAATCCCTTGCATTTATCAGTAATTTAGTAACGGAATAATTACATATTTTCTAGAGTAATTTTAAAGTAATTCCCTTACATTTTTCACGTAACGGATTCCTTGTAATCCGTTACATTTTTTGTGTCAGAACCACCCCCAATTATAAATAATATTTTTTTTTTTTTTTTTGTAAAGTTGAGCGCAGTGACACTGTCCCGCGAATCGAACAGCGCAAAGGGAGCCTTGGCACTCTTCAGTTCCGCGAAGCCTTCTTTTGCAACACCAAGCCCCTTAATTTTTTTTTTCCTTTGACCCTAACATCAATGTTCAAAAATCAAAAAGAACAATTCTACAAAAAAAAAGGGGGGGGGGGGCAAGTTATTTTTACGTTTTTTTTTTAGTCCCTTTGTTTTTTCTTTGCGATCGAAGACGGAGAGAGGAGGACACCCAGTGATTGTGCGCCACTTCGAGAAGCTCGAGGCGGCAAGTGCACTCAAAAGAATTAACAATGTCCCTCTCGGTTATAGTGACTACGACCATTTTCATAATGTCACAACCCGAGAAAACGCCCCGTCTACCCTACCCTTTTTGGGAGTCAGCTTTTTGGGAGCACTTAGAATATGGTAATAGTCTTCCTTTCTTCTTCTTCCTGTTTTGCCCCAGCAGGATGCATCTTATCTCGAGCAGATATTTTTACAAATGAAACCTAATGGTGGCTGACGTAGACTTGATATTCTGGGCTTGAGGAGAAAGTGAAATTCGTGAGTGGGGCCATAGCGCGGCTTACTTAGTACTCTACCCTTTGCTGCCCGTGGCATCAGCGGACGTCTATCTGGAAAACACCGAAGTAAACTGCAGTCGGTTCGTGCTCCGTGCATTTTTGAACGGCACGTAGAAAGGTACACACAGCAAACGTGCGTTTACATTTCCTTGTCTTACCCGACGTTATACCTAATTGTTTTTATGAGTGCCCTTCTTTTTCTTTTATTACTTATATTTATATACTGGAAACCTTTTTTTTTTTTTATTCACAAACGTCTCAAACGAGGCTCGAATTGTTCAGAACCAAAGGAAGAAGAATATCGAGCCAAACCTAATTTATTATTTAATTATCGCCTTACTGTTACAACTATGTTTTGCTATTGATGACGTCTACAGCTTCGCGATTTAGACAATGGAAAATTTTAGTAGATCGGCCCGATGACTCCGATAACGATATCCGATACTTCGCCGCCGTCTTTGCGTATGCATCATATCGTTATAAGGTACCGTTATCACGGGTATCGGAGGTATCTGAAGGATCTACTAAATCTCTCGAATAGCAGGCAACGGCTGCAACGACAAAGCTTTGCTCTACATTCGAGGTAAATAGTACTTCCCTTGCTTCGCTGAAAAAGCTCAATGCAGAGCATGAAGCATTCGTGAGGAACAATATGGCACTCCCATCCAGTGCCTCAGCTGAAATGGTGTTCAGTGCAGCAGTCGACATATTGAGTAAGAAATAACGCAAAATGTCTGACGAGACTTTCGAGAGCCAGCTTTTGCTCAAAATACTCAACGTCATTAAATGGAAGAGGTGGCCGTAATAAGAACTTTAATAGGGACCATGAAATGATTTTAAAATCTAATTTCATCCACCGCACGTCGTAAAAGGTGTGAAAAGAAACACAAAAACACAAAACTAGGGAGCCAAAACAAATTATTTGCTAT